ACGGGAAACGCATACAGCTACTTTCTGATAATGAAAACAAACAAAAAACTAAGCAAACAGAACGTCTCCTTAAAAAAGCAAAGCAAACCAACAACTCCATGGAGATTCATTTCATTTGCAACCTACTGAAAGGAGCAAGACCTTTCAGGTGAGGGACTAACTTCTGTGCTTGGGTTCCCTGCGTTCTCACGGGTGTTAGCAGCCCCTGTGGAACTCCAGTCCCTGCACAGGTGCCTTCCTCGGGGGGGGGGCAGGACAAGTTTATGTCTGTCACCCTCCCTTTCACGGGGCAGCCTGAGGACACTGGGGGCCACTGGAAATTAAATTTGGAAGTGGGAACGGCCGGGCACAGTGGCTCAAACCTGTAATCCCAGCACTTTGAGAGGCTGAGGTGGGCAGATCACGAGGTCAAGAGATCGAGACCATCCTGGCCAACATGGCGAAACCCCATCTCTACTAAAAATACAAAAATTAGCTGAGCATGGTGACACATGCCTGTAACCCCAGCTACTCAGGAGGCTGAGGCAGGAGAACCGCTTGAACCTGGCAGGCGGAGGTTGCAGTGAGCCGAGATCGTGCCACTGCACTCCAGCTTGAGCAACAGAGCAAGACTGTTTCAAAAAAAAAAAAAAGAAAAAAGAAAAGGAAGCAGGTATGCCACCGTGCAAGTTCAAATTCAAACCTTCCAGATAAAAACAAAACACTGTCTTCACTCAGGACTGGGCCGCCTTTCCCTGGCCTTTTAGAGGAAATCCCAGGCTGCAGGTGAGACGCTGAGCCTCCCAGTCCTTGGATGAGGGGAGTGTGAGTTCCGACCCAGGGCAGGTGGGACCGGGAAGCTGAGTAGGGGTCGGGGGCCTGGGCTTCACTTTGCTCTGGGAGAGCTTGAGCCCCAGACCCAGCCTGAGTTCTTAGCACCTGGAACAGGCAGAGGCGGGTGTGGGAAGGGCAGGGCTGGGCCCCTCACCCCCGGCCCCTTTGTGTGCCATCCTGGTTGGGTGAGTACACCCATTCCCTCACGGCGGCTTTGTCATTCCAGAGTGTGCTTTGCGTGGCCACTGGCTGGAACTCAGAAAGCAAACACTCCCAAATGTCACGTATTTTAAAAGTTGATATAAGATAATTTGAAGTGTGCAAGGGAGGAGAAATACACCTCAAGCTTCACACCTCCCGTGGATGCACAGGATTTATAAAGGCCAGCCGCCCACCTGGACAGGTGGCCATGAGCACTGGCTTGCACATGTGAGTGAGTGTGCAGGTGGGCGTGCAAGTATGCACATGTGTGACAGGATGTGAGGTGCATACGAGGGTGTGTCACCTGTGTGTGTGTGTGAGCATCTGTGTGAACAGATACTGTATTGGAGCAGGCATAGAAAGTTAACACCAAGACAAAAGTAAGCCAAATTATATGGATACGTGTGTACGTGTGGGAGACATTGTGAGTGTGCATGTGTGAATAAGGTCAGGAGTTCGAGACCTGCTGACCAACATGGAGAAACCCCGTCCCTACTAAAAATACGAAATTAGCCGGGTGTGGTGGCGCATGTCTGTAATTCCAGCTACTGGGGAGGCTCAGGCAGGAGAATAGCTTGAACTCAGGAGGCGGAAGTTGCAGTGAGCTGAGATCGCGCCATTGCACTCCAGCCTGGACAATAAGAGCAAAACTCCATCTCAAAAAAAAAAAGCATTGTGAAAATGTGTGCAAGTGTGTGTGCACATAGCCCACCTGCAGGGTGGCGGGGTGCAGCGCCTGTGGTGGGCTAACCCCCAGTAGTGGGAAGTTAGCCTCCATGGGTGATGGGAACGAGGGTCTGGGGCCACCTCCTCTCTAGCTGCTTTAACTCTGAGTGGGCTGGGAAGCCTGTCTGTTCCCATTTCCCTGGGGGCAGCCCCTGCCAGCACGGAACAGGTGGGCGGGATCCTGCCCTGACTCCTGTGGTGGAAGAGAAAGCACCCCCTGGCCTGTGCCTGGTTCTGACCTGGGCATCGGCTCTGCTGCCTGCAGGCCCTCGGGGTTACTGGTGTGGAGGCTGTGCAGGTTCATGAAACTCAGCAAAGGTCGGCGATTTCAGCCCTGCTCGTTTTTGAGAGGGCTCCTGTACTGGAGTCTGGAGTCATCTTGGCTTAGCCAGTTACACGTTACTAGTGTCACCCGGTCTTGAAGACACGGAGATGCCTGGGGGAAGCAGAGGGAGAAGTGGATTCTTCAGAAGCACCGTTCACTTCTGATGACTGTTACCCTCCTTAGAAATCAGCTTCATTTGTTCCTCAAAAGCTCATTCAAAGCATTCCCTTGGGGGATTGCTTTCCTAAAACTAAGGACTGAACTCACTGAAATCAGCAGTGGCTGAGGTTGGCCTCCCTGAGAAACAGACTCCAGGCCCCAGCTTAGGAGGCAGCAGGTGTGGGGGGTTTCAGGAGCTATGTCTGGGAGCAATGAGGGGCCCTGGCCCGGGCCTGGGCAGAGGGGAGGCCGGCTGTCCGGCAAGTATACCAGGCCGTGGGCACCCCAGGGTGTGCTGCAGAGGTGGGACAGCCCCTCGGGGTGGCCTGTGTGGGGCCGTCTGATGGGCACTGTGTCCTCGCTGCCCATCCCTGGATAGGGGCCACCCCAGTGAGGGCAGGGGAACTAGGCCAGGAGGTAGAATCTGAACGCGGGGTCTCAGCCAGAAGCTGTCAGCAGTCCACACCCCAGAGCCGAGTCTTGGAGGGGAATGGTGGGGGGATACTTCAGCACCAACCCTTGATAGCACCTGGTTCCTTTTTTAGTTTTTAAAAGTGGGTATTAAAGTTTAACGTTCAGTGTCTAGTCCTTTAAATTTGCCGGTTGTCTCTACATACGTGCCGTGGACAGAATTGTGCGCTGACATGTCTACACTGAAGCCCTGTCCCCACCAGTGAGGCTGGATCTGTAGATGCCCTTTAGGAGGTGCTTAGGTTTAGATGAGTTCTGCCAAGGAGGGTGGCTCCCTCAGGACCAGGAATTTGAGACCAGCCTGACCAGGTGGCATGTGCCTATAATCTTGGCTAATTGGGAGGCTGAGGCAGGAGAATCACTTGAACCCAGGAGGGAGAGGTTGCAGTGAGCTGAGATTGTGCCACTGCACTCCAGCCTGGGTAGCAGAGTGAGACTCTGTCTCAAAAGACCCAAAAAAGTCACTTGTGGGCTGGGTAGTGGCTCACCCCTGTAATCCCAGCATTTTGGGAGGCCCAGGCAGGTGGATCATTTAAGGCCAGGAGTTTGAGACCAGCGTGGCCAACATGGTGAAAACTGTCTCTACTAAAAATACAAAAATGAGTCAGGCATGGTGGCTAATGGATTGGATGAGGGAGCTGGAGATTGCAGTGAGCTGAGATCACACCACTGCACTTCAGCCTGGGTGACAGAGTGAGACTCTGTCTCCAAAAAAAGTGTCACTCGTGTGTGACCTTTTTTTGGTGTTAGAGATTTTCTCCAGCGTCTTACTGCACTCCGGGGTTTCTATAGGAGAATGTTTACTGAAAAGCCACTTGCCGTAAAAGAATTGTAAATGGCCCACATGCCCATGGATTGGATGTGAGCAATGTGTGTTTAGACGTGGTCCTCTGATGGAATACTGGAATCTGAGATGGAGTTTTGCTCTGTTACCCAAGCTGGAGTGCAGTGGTGCAATCAGCTTGCTGCAGCCTCCACTTCCCGGGTTCCAGCGATTTTCCTGCCTCAGGCTCCCAAGTAGCTGGGATTATAGTCACACGCCACCATGTGTGTGCCTATAATACACACACATAAAATTTTGTATTTTTAGTAGAGACAGGTTTCCCCGTGTTGGCCAGGCTTGTCTCAAACTCCTGACCTCAGGTGATCCACCCGCCGTGGCCTCCCAAAGTGCTGGGATTACAGGCGTGAGCCACGGCACCCGGCCCTCACCATACATTTTGCACTGTGTTTTTTTTGTTTGTTTGTTTAGGAGGTGAATGTAATATTTTTAAAAATGCATTCATTTAAAATTCCGTAACTGGGAGAGAATGTTGCTGGAAATTTTCTGGTCGTTGGAAGCCCCTGAAGGTCTGAGAGGAGACTCCGGCCAGTGTTCACCTCAGAAGCCAGAGGAGGCAGCATGGGCTGCGTGGGTTGCAGGCCACTGTCCCCATGTGGGGGTGGGAGTGTCACCGGCCACACCCCTGGCTGCAGGAGGATGCAGTAGCCAGTCCAGGAACAGCTGGCTGGAAGCATGGCGAACATGAGCCCCTCCCAGCAGATGAGGTTCTGAGCACTCCTGTTCTGAGGGCCGACGGGGAGGGGCAAAGGCAGTGTGCGATGGGCCGCCTGGCTGGTCACTCCAGGAAAGCTTCCAGAACCTTCCTGTCACAGAGGAGTTTAAACTCTGGGGAGGACATCAGAGCAGGGTGATGCCTGCCCTTCTGGAGCTCACAGGCTGCTGAGTGAGACGGGCAAGATTAGAACCGAGTTGGAATCCAGGGGTGACCAGACAGTGCGAGGGGTCTGTGTGTGGGGTGGGAGGGCGTGCGGCAGGCAGGGCAGGCAGCCTGCTCAGAAGTGGCCTTTGGGCTGTGTGATGGCGGCATGCTCTGAATCTCCAACGAGGCTCCCTATGTTCTGCCATCACACGGGCACAGGCGTGGGAAGGGGCGTGAGGCCCTCAGAAGAGTCCAGCACACCCCGCAGGGTGCTCACAGCAGGGTTGGAGCCTGGGAAGGGCTTGTTGATGCATTTTTTTTTACCCCAGGGAGTGGTTTTTGGAACCCCCTCCCCATCGGCTACCATCCTTGGCTTGTCCACTGGAAGCTGGGTGCAGCTGTCTCTGGCACAGCTCTGGGCAAGTCCCCAAGAGCTGGGGTTGGGGGGGGTTCTGTTCATGTCACAGCCCTGACCCGGAGTCAGGTTTTCTTTCAGCAGCTGACTCTGTGGCTGGGATGTGCCTGGGGTCCTCGAGGGGTCCATGGGTTCTTCCCTGGCTGCTAAGTAACCTCCTCTCTGGCATCTTCCTCTCACCCTGCAGGAGAACACTGTGAGGTGGATGCCCGCTCAGGCCGCTGTGCCAACAGGGTGTGCAAGAACAGGGGCACCTGTGTGAACCTGCTCATCAGGCTTCCACTGCGTGTGCCCCCCCCGGCGAGTACGAGAGGCCCTACTGCAAGGTCACCACCAGGAGCTTCCCACCCCGGTCCTTTATCACCTTCCGGGGCCTGAGACAGCGCTTCCACTTCACCGTCTCCCTCACGTGAGTGTGCCTCCCGCCTCGTCACATGGGTCTCTTTAGGAAAGGGGCGAGCTGTCTCCATGTTCGTATCCTTCAAGATCGCGATGTCTGTGTCCTCCACGTGTGGCCTTTGACAGTTGAGTAGCTCCAGACCAATCTCGGTGGCTCTAGCCTGTAATCCCAGCACTTCAGGCAGGTGGATCACCTGAGGTCAGGAGTTCAAGACCAGCCTGGCCAACATAATGAGACCTCCATCTCTACTAAAAATACAAAATTAGGCTGAGCGTGGTGGCTGATGCCTATAATCTCAGCACTTTGGGAGGCCAAGGTGAGTGGATCTCAAACCAGATCATGAGTTTGAGACCAGCCTGGCCAACGTGGTGAAACTCCGTCTCTACTAAAAATAAAAAATTAGCCGGGTGTGGTGGCACGTGCCGGTAGTCCCAGCTACTCAGGAGGTTGAGGCTTGAACCCTGGAGGTGGAGGTTGCAGTGAGCTGAGATTGCGCCATGGCACTCCAGCCTAGGCAACAGAGTGAGACTCTGTCTCAAAAAAATAAATAAAATAAAATACAAAATTAGCTGGGCATGGTGGCGCATGCCTGTAATCCCAGCTCCTTGGGAGGCTGAGGCAGGAGAATCACTTGAACCAGGAGGCGGGGGTTGCAGTGAGCCGACATCACACCATTGCACTCTAGCCTGGGCAACAAGAGCAAAACCTCTTCTCTGGCGTGGTGGTGGGTGCCTGTAATCCTAGCTACTTGGGAGGCAGAGGCGGAGGTGGAGGTTGCAATGGGCTGAGATCATGCCACTGCACTCCAGCCTGCTGACAGAGTGAGACTCCGTCTCAAAAAAAAAAAGTTAAAAAAGTTATATATAGTAGCTTTTCATATTGTGGGGGTGCATGTGATACTTTGATAACCTTATACAATATGTAGTGATTAAATCAGGGTGATTGGAAATTGATTACCTCGAACATTTCTGTTTTCTTTGTATTGGTAACACTGCAACTTTTTTATTCTAGTTTTCTGGAAATATGCAATAAACTATTGTTAATTCTGTGTTCCCACCCATGCTGTTGAAGACTAGAGCGTATTCCTAGCTGGGCACAGTGGCTCACGCCTGTGATCCCAGCACTTTGGGAGGCCGAGGCGGGTGGATCTCCTGAGGCTGGGAGTTAAAGACCAGCCTGGCCAACATGGTGAAATTCTGTCTCTACTAAAAGCTCAAAATTTAGCCGGCTGTGGTGGTGGGCACCTGTAATCCCAGCTACTCAAGAGGCTGAGATAAGAGAGTCACTTGAACCCGGAAGGTGGAGGTCGCAGCGAGCTGAGATCATGCCACCGCACTCCAACCTGGGTGGCAGAGACTCCGTCTCAAAACAGCAACAGAAAATGATTTATTTCTACTGTGTCTTTATTTGTACCCCTTAACCCACTTCTCTCCAGCCCTTCCCTGCGCCCTCTGCAGCTGGTGACCACCACTATCCTCTCCACCTCCAAAAATGTTGAATGACATGTGTGCACAAGAGAAGGCTGTGCTGCCGCTTGTCAGATTTTGTATCTGTGAGACTGTGGTACTGGACAGCAATTGATGAATTATATGTGATGGTGGCTGAACAAGCAGAGCCGATGCTAAATCACCGAGGGTTTTGTAGGGAATGCCATTAAAAGCAAAATCATAAGATGCCTCCCAGGCTGCCAGGGCAGTTCCACTTCAGGAGCAGTGGGGCTGTGGGCGGGGCGGGGCCCTCTTGAGCCTCTGAGAGCCGCTGCGAGGGGCCGGGTTGGGGGGCGCCTCGCTGCTTTTGTTTCAGGTGGGTTCTTCCACGGCCCCTTCTCCTCTTTCTGGCTTCTCTTTGCCAAGCATCTGGGCTCCCAAGTGGGCTCTGGGCTCCGTTCCCAGCTGCCTATTATCCCCCCAGCTCTTTGTTTTTTCCTCCTCCTTCCCCGGGGCCCCTCTCGGGGCCTTGGTTTCTGTTTTCTGGCCTTTCCTCTTTCTGCTTGCATTCTTCCGACCCTCCACTAGGCTTTGGGTCTCATCTTTACTGCTCCATCCCCAGCGGTGGAGGGTGCTTGCCGGGGGAGCTGTGCAGGGCTGTTTGACACTGACCCCGCCCACCAGCCCCCATCTGGCTAACATGGTGAAAACCCATCTCTACTAAAATACAAAAAATTAGCTGGGCGTGGTGGTGGGCTCCTGTAGTCCTCGCTACTCGGGAGCCTGAGGCGGGGGAATCGCTTGAACCCGGGAGGCAGAGGTTGCAGTGAGCCAAGATCGCACCACTGCACTCCCACCTGACGATAGAGCAAGACTCCATCTCAAAAAAAGTAAGTAAGAAAATATACAGCACATGCTTTCTGTCCAAACATATCTGTAACAGGTGTCCTGACTATGGGCTGTGCTTATAGCATGTTGTGCAAATGGGATATTTCCTTTTTTTTGAGACAGAGTCTCTGTTACCCAGGCTGGGGTGCGGTGGCACGATCTTGGCTCAGCCTCCTGGTTTAAGCGATTCCCTGCCTCAGCCTTCCGAGTAGCTGGGACTACAGGTGTGTGTCACCACACCCAGCTAATTTTGTATATTTTTAGTAGAGACAGTTTTACCATGTTAGGATGGTCTTGATCTCCTGACCTCATGATCCACCCGCCTCAGCCTCCCAAAGTGCTGGGACTACAGGCGTGAGCCACCGTGCCTGGCCGCAAATGGGATCTGTTCACATTCTACATGGTGTAGTATCCAGATTCCCCATGGATTCTGGTTTGCTACTTCCAGAAAAGAATGCTGCTCATCAAGCTTGATGGGCTTTCTGCTTCCCTGGGAAGGATGCGTGCCTGAGGCCATTTCTTCCTGAATCGTGGTCACCAGCGCCCGCCCTCCTCTGGCTGGGCTTGTCACGCCTGGGGAGCCTTCTGACCTTGGGGTCTTCAGCCTGTGATGTGCTTCTGCTTGGCTCCGCAGGTTTGCCACCCAGGAAAGGAATGGCCTGCTGCTCTACAATGGCCGCTTCAATGAGAAACACGACTTCATTGCCCTGGAGGTTGTGGACGAGCAGGTGCAGCTCACCTCTGCAGGTGGGGCCTTCTCCCTAGGCAGGGCAGCTCTGAGCAACTCACAGATGCTTTGTGCATTAGAACAACCCTTGCCCTGTGCAGCACCTCCAAGCTGCTTACCCTTTCATCCCTCCGTTGTAGGTCGAGGAATCTGTCTTACTGAAGAAATCCAAAGTGCACAAAGATGTTCGTAGCAGTGTTATTTATAGTGCTGGAAATGTGAATGATCTGGCTCATGTTTCCAGAAACCAAGGAATCATTAAATTAAGTGTAGTACATCTCTACATTAAAAATATTATTGCTGGCCAGGCGCGGTGGCTCACGCCTATAATCCCAGCAATTTGGGAGGCCGAGGCAGGTGAATCCCCTGAGGTCAGCAGTTCAGGACCCGGCTGGCCAACGTGGTGAAACCCCATCTCAACTAAAAATACAAAAATTAGCTGGGTGTCATGGTGCATGCCTGTAATCCCTGCTACTTGGGAGGCTGAAGCAGGAGGATTACTTGAACCCAGGAGTCTGAGGTTGCAGTGAACCAAGATTGTGCCATTTCACTCCAGCCTGGGCAACAGAGTGAGACTCCATCTTAAAAATATATATATATGTGTGTGTGTATATATATATATATATGGGGCGGGGGGAGAGACAGACAGACAGAGAGACAAGGCTGGCCAGGCAAGGTGGCTCATGCCTGTAATCCCAGCACTTTGAGAGGCCAAGGCAGGCAGCTTGCTTGAGCCCAGAAGTTCAAGACCAGCCTGGGCAACATAGCGAGACTCCGCACCTGCAGAGTCCACCTGGCCATCCTCGCTCTTGAGTTGGTGTCTCCTCTTCCTTATTTTGACCCAAAGATATGTGTAACTCTGGATAACAGGGACATATTTTTTTTTGAGACAGAGTCTTGCTCTGTCACCTGGGCTGGAGTGCAGTGGGCCAATCTTGGCTCACTGCAACCTCCACCTCCTGGGCTCAAGCAGTTCTGCCTCAGCCTCCCAAGGTGCTAGGATTACGGGCGTGAGCCACTGTACCTGGGCAGTAAGAATCAATTTGGACATCTCAAACTAACCCTGTTGGATCACATGTCCACCCCAGAAACATGTAACACGACTCATTCATCTGGAGTCCTGTGCCCAGAGCAAACAGGCCCCTTGAAATGCAGGGAGATGGATGTGATTATACAGAACACTTTCTCGAGTCGGTGGGGTTGAAGTCATGTCTGATGCGTGTGGAGATCCTGGTGGTGTTAGGACTGGCAGCAGCGTGCTCTCGGGGCTCCCGGAGTGCCCTTTGCACAGGGATGGCCGAGCATCAGTTTGTCCAAGGTGGAGCAGCTTGGTTCTTCATAAACCACGGTTCCAGGCCCCTGTGGAGGGACGGGATGCCCCCACGGCTCATGGGCCTCAGCTGCTGGTGGGCATCAGGTGCAGGGACACCTGCTACACTCTCTTCTTTGTATACCTGAGCCTAGAGCAGATGCTGTGATCCCGGCTGCAGCCCCGTAAGTGGGAAGCAGCCTGTGGCCTTGGGCTTGTGGCCTCTCAAGAAGATGGCACCACACCACACTTGGATGTCAGCAAGATGTGATGCAAGAGGGCTTGGAGGAGGTGCCCTGGGAGTGGAGAGGGAGGTGGGAGCCAGGGAGGCTGAAGCGGGAGGGCATTCTGGGAGCAAAAGCAACCGAGCCGAGCTGGAGAGGAGCAAGGGATGAGGCTGGTCTAAAGAACCTGGGGGGTCATCCGGGGAGGCAGAGAGGCCTGGGTGAGGACAGGGGTGGGCCCACAAGCCAGGAACAGAGCTCGGCTGTATGGAGGCTGTGGGGGCCCAGCACAAAAGTGACAGGTCTGGTTTTGGGGAACCCCCAGCTGCCACATGGAACACAGCTCAGAGCAGGGGGTGTTACCAGGAGGCTGACCCAGCAACCCCATGCCTGGCACCACCGCCACCAGAGCTGCAGGGAGACGAAGGCTCTGGGGCCCCCATACCGCACACACACATATCCATAAACACCAGACTCCATCTCTGCCTGGGTGTCTTTATGACCCTGATTTGTACACAGTCAGTCCTTAATAATTGCTCACCAAGTGAGTGAACTCGAGAGGCTGGCAGCTGGGTAGAGGGACCTCTGTTAGCAAGGATGGGGAATGCAACAGCCCACAGGACACTTGGGTGGGGACATCGCAGCCAGGTGGGGCTGCAGGAGGTGCCGCCCATGACAGGAAGGGGTAGGGCGACTCGGGTGCAGCCGCCGCCAGTGCCTTGGAGGCCTGGCCTTGTCCCTGCAGTGTCACTCATCTTCAGCATCTGCTGTTCCCTACGGGGGAGGCTCAGGGAAGCAGGACTGGCTTCCACTGGATTCTGAGTGCGTGGACATGGGCCACTGACCTAAGGGCATGCTACACCAGGGCATGGCTGCCCTGAGCATCCATAGGGCTGGGGGACAACAGAAACTGCAGAACTCCCTGTTCAGGAACCTCCCTCAGGGCGTCTCATGCTGCCATTCACCCCACGTGGCCTTGGAGAAGTGGTGCCAGGCAGCTGAGCTCAGTCTACCTGTGTGGGGCTGGGATGTGAGAGGCCAGCCTTGCAGTGGGATCCGTGGTCATTAGGCCCCAGTGATCCAGGCATGGCGTGGACGTGGGACACACAGTGAACACACGCTGTCACGGCTGCTTTGGGCATGGTCAGTCTGTGGGTGGAGGTGAGGGTGGGAGCCAGTAGAGGGAAAACAGGCCATGTAACGTGGAAGGGAAGCTCCCCGAGCTGGGCTTAGCCGAGCTTCCTGGGCAGCCGTCTCCATGCCACCAGCGGGCCTCTTGTTCTAGAAAGCATCGTTACATAAACCTTCCATCTGCCCTCTCATTTTACCGACAGACTCGACCTTCCGTGCCCCAGAGGCTGGTGGGGGAACCCCGTCTGTGGACCCTGCTACTGTGCTGTCAGCAAAGGCTTCGATCCCAACTGTAATAAGACCAATGGCCGGTGCCAGTGCAAGGTGAGGCCCAGCCCCATGGTCCCTGCATGCCCACCCCAGGCTCTGAGCCCAGGGAGATGGCTGTGTGTGCTCACACACACACACGGAGGCTGCTATACACATGCCTGTGAACACTCACATGCCTGTGAACACACACCTGTGAACACTCGCACACCTGCAGACACGCCTGCAGACATTCACATGCCTGCACTCTCACGCCTGCAGACACTCACACACCTGCAGACATGCCTGTAAACACACGCCTGTGAACACTCACCTGCAGACACATGCCTGTAAACACACGCCTGTGAACACTCACCTGCAGGCACATGCCTGCAGACACTTACACGCCTGCAGACACACACACCTGCAGACACACACACCTGCAGACACACACACACCTGCAGACATGCCTGTAAACACTCACCTGTGAACACTCACCTGCAGACACATGCCTGCAGACACTCACACGCCTGCAAACACACAGCTGCAAACACTCATGCCTGCAGACACTCACACACCTGCAAACATGCCTGTAAACACGTGCCTGTGAACGCTCCCCTGCAGACACATGCTTGCAGACATGAACGCCTGCAAACACTCACATGCCTGCAGACACTCACACGCCTGCACATGCCCTGCCCATACACACACCTCCACGCACACCTGTCTGTGCCCGTCACACCACAGTTGTGCACAGATGTGGTTTTGGTTTCCTTGCTGATCCCCGTGCCCTGTGAATAGTCCACGGCTGCTTTCTGCATGTAAACTCCGGGTTCAACCCTGCCAGCCTCCACCCGTGGAACAGGAATCCCTACCTGCTCCCAGCCCAGCGTCCATGGCTGTGGGAAGCCCAGCCGTTTCAGAGGGCTGGCACATCTCTGGCCCTCCTGGCCTCCTGGTTGGCTGTTTTCCTGGCCTTTTTTTTGAGATGGAATCTCACTCTGTCACCCAGGCTGGAGTGCAGTGGCACAATCTCAGCTCACTGCAGCCTCTGCCTCCAGGGTTCCAGCAATTCTACCTCAGCCTCCCAGGTAGCTGGGATTACAGGCACCCTCCACCGTGCCCAGCTAATTTTTCTATTTTTAGTAGAGATAGGATTTCACCATGTTGGCCAAGCTGGTCTCAAACTCTCCGCCTGCCTCAGCCTCCCAAAGTGCTGGGATTACAGGTGTGAGCCACCGTGCCTGGCCATTTTCATGGTCTTCACAAAGCTAGCATCCCATGACGATAGCAATTTTGAAATAGAAAGCATGACTAATTGTGTTGGTAAGTTGTACCCCACCCCCATCCAGGGCAGTCAGTCCTAACCTGCGTGCAGCACGGAGCTCCCATCTCATGGTCTCCAGATGTGCACACATGTTCTCAGCACAGACGCTAGGGACCCCTCCCATCACCTCCTTCAGGACCTTCATGTACACCACAGCCATGGAGCTCATAGTCACTTGAAACCCAAATGTTAGGTCCGAGGGTGACAGGAGCCTGGGCGGGGGACATGAGCTTCCTGCAGATGTGGCCGGCTCTGGGAGGGAAGCTGGCACTGGGGCACCCTTGGATGTCGTCCTGTGATGTCAGTAATGTCCCGAGTGCCCTCATTGCTTCCAACAGCAAGTGAGACTTATGTCCTGAAAGACTCAATGAAACAGCTGTCCTGGGTCGAGACAGTGTAACATGTCACCTGGTGGTGGTGGTGGCACAGTGGGCGACAGAGCAGAGGGAACTTGGGGAGTGCATTGGTGAAAACTTGCCTATGAATTTTTTCTCATCCAAAGTTATAGGCAGGGCATGGTGGCTCGTGCCTGTAATCTCAGCTGCTCTGGAGGTTGAGGCGGGAGGATCACTTGAGCCCAGGAGTTCAAGACCAACCTAGGCAACATAGACCCCCCCATCTCTGCAAAAAATAAAAGCATTAGCTGGGTGTGCTGGTGCATGCCTGTGATCCCTGCTACTCGGGAGGCTGAGGTGGGAGGATCACTTGAGCCCTGGAGGTTGAGGGTGCAGTGAGCGGTGATACTACTGCACTCCAGCCTGGGCAACAGAGTGAGACCCCATCTCAAAAAATAAAATAAAGTTATACAAAATGTAAGAAACAAACAAAGATGGCGGTCACCCCATCTCCCCCCCAGCTGTGGTGGCGAATGTTTTAGCATCTCTTTGGGGCCTGCCACTCACTGTCATTTTACACCTAGCTGGAGTCCCACCTGACACACAGTCTGAACGTTGCTCACGAGTCTGCCCAGGTCACACAGCCTGCACCATTTTCTGGGGGGAGGGGGTGGTACTTGGGCCTGGGGAGGCCCAGTGACTGGCCCAGGCAGTGTAGCTGGTAAACAAAAGGGTCAGGCACGAACCCAGGACTTTCTGAACCCAAAGCACAAGCTCTTGATTGTCACCCTGGCCTGCTCAATGGTAGACGTTCAGGTGGCTTCTAATTTTTTTTTTTTTTTTTTGAGATGGAATATTGCTCTGTCGCCAGGCTGGAGTACAATGGCGTGATCTCGGCTCACTGCAGCTCCCGGGTCCGAGCAGTTCTGCCTCAGCCTCCCGAGTAGCTGGGACCACGGGTGCACACCACCACATTCAGCTAATTTTTATATTTTTAGTAGGGATGGGGTTTCACCATGTTGTCTGGGCTGGTCTTAATCTCTTGACCTCTTGATCCACCTGCCTTGGCCTCCCAAAATGCTGGGATTACAGTCATGAGCCACGGTGCCTGGCCTCTGATTTTTCAAAATAACATTAAGAAAACACCCAAGGGCCATCCCCACGTGTAAGCCTCCATTTGGATCTCTGATTCTTCTTAGGACAGATATGAAGGTGCCCGCTGTTGGGATTTGCTAAGACGTGAGGGAGGGAGGTCATGCTTCCCGGGAGAACCACTGTCCTGGGAAGAGCTTCCCTTGTAGGGCCCTGGGAGGCAGCCCCCGTCGGGTGTGGGGTGTGGGGTGTGGGCAGAGGGTAGCCATGAGGGGTGCAGACGGCTGGGACCAACACATGTGCCCTGAGGGTGGGAGTCTGGATGTTGCTGAGGAAATGTGCTGTGACATAGGGCTTCTCCCAGGCGTCTGAAGTCACCGGCCCTGCCTCTGGCTTTTGCAGGAGAATTACTACCAGGCCCCAGCCCAGGACGCCTGCCTACCCTGTGACTGCTTCCCCCATGGCTCCCACAGCCGTGCTTGCGACATGACCACTGGGCAGTGTGCCTGCAAGCCTGGTGTCATCGGCCGCCAGTGCAACCGCTGTGACAACCCGTTCGCCGAGGTCACCACACTCGGCTGCGAAGGTCCGAGCTGCCCCTTCACTCCTTGCAGGTCACAGCGCAGGGACAGGCCGCCGGGCTGGCGTGCACGTGTGTGCGTGCGCTCAGGGTGTTTGGGGGGACCCTGGGCTCCTTTGTGTTCTACGTCCTCTTGACCTTCTAGAAACCTGGTTCTGTGTGAAGGGCATGGGTCAGAGCCTGGTCACCCCCTCTCCAGCTCTGGCGTGGATGGGGGGTGGGGGAGATGCTAGGGTTCGGTTCTTAGTGGGAGCAGGGCCTCCTGCAGGGGGGAGGCGCACACAGACAGCAGGGCCCGTTTGTGGCCGTCAGCACAGCGTGCCCTGCTGAGCGGCCTTCTCTTTTCTCTAACCCAGTGACCTTCAACGGCTGTCCCAAAGTGTTCGAGGCCAGCATTTGGTGGCCACAGACCAAGTTCGGGCAGCCGGCTGCAGTGCCATGCCCCAAGGGGTCCGTCGGTGAGTCCCTGTGGCCGGTGGGGTCCACAGGTGGGGAACCGAGGCACACGTCCTTGTGGGAGAGCCAGTCGAGATGTCGGAACTCATGCAGGCCAAGTGCTGGGAGAAATTAGATCGCCTTTTCCCTACCAGTAAATACACAGTGCAGGCAGAGGGTGTAATAGACACAGGAACGGCACAGTGTGTACAGGGACGCCTGCCAGTCACACCCGGCCATTCCCTGCTCTGCCGCTCAGCCTGGGGCACTGGGACAAATGGCTTCATTGTTCATAGCATCAGGTGTCCCCTGTGAAATGGGGACAGTGACCATGTCCGCACTGTGAGGGACGCCTGGGGAGTCCAGTGAGGCAGCACAAGTAAAGGCCCAGCTGCAGCGGATCCCTGGCACATGGCATCATGGCTGCCCGGCAGATGGTGTTGCTGATTTCTTTTTTTTTTTTTTTTGAGCCGACGTCTCACTCGGTCACCCAGGCTGAAATGCAGTGGTGCAGTCTTGGCTCACTGCAACCTCCACCTCCTGGGTTCCAGCAATTCTCCTGCCTCAGCCTTCTGAGTAGCTGGTACTACAGGCGCGCACCACCATGCCCAACTAGTTTTTGTATTTTTTAGTAGAGACGGGGTTTCACCATATTGGCCAGGCTGGTCTCGACCTCCTGACCTCATGATCCACCCACCTTGGCCTCCCAAAGTGCTGGGATTACAAGCGAGAGCCACCACGCCCGGCCGCTGGTTTCTTCCTCACACACTTGCTCAGGAGTGCTGGCTGCTGTTTGCTGGGCGCCTGAAATGCCTGGTTGTCAGTCAGTGTTAAAGCAGCTTTGGCCATGGCCCTGGCATGAGGGGTGCAGACCCCTGGGGCCAACACATGTGCCCTGAGGGTGGGAGTCTGGATGTCTCTGAGGAAATGTGCTGCGACGTAGGGCCTCTCCCAAGCGTCTGAAGTCACTGGCCCTGCCTCTGGCTTTTGTAGGCACCACCGTGCCTCTGGGCCCTCATGGGGTTCTCACCGCCACACCATGTTCTGGGCTTGAGTACATTCAGATCAGGGATGGAAATACACCAGCATGGATCAACAATGTGAGTTTCAGGCTTTGCATTCCTGCTCTCCTTCCCCAGGAAATGCAGTTCGACGCTGGCTGCCCCCAGAGCTCTTCAACTGCACCACCGTCTCCTTCGTGGACCTCAGGACCGTGGTAGGGGCGCCTCAGGGATGCATGCTCAGCAGGGGCGCATGTGTGCTCGTGTATGCAGGAGAGTTTGCGTGGGCCAGGGCTCCTGGGCTGGGGAGTGTTGGGACAGCTGGGATGACTCAGGGATGGCCCCATGGGCTCCTGTGACTTGGGAGCATTGGCACCTGAACTGGGCACCCCCACATGTACTGTCCCCTGACACCGGCTCTGCGTCTTTGGTTCTGAGAACACAGGGTCCCTGCGTTTGACCCCATTTGCCCTCTGATCCTGCCCTGTCTCACGGGGGTTGTTCCTGGGTCTCCTACTGGCTGTCTCTCTCCGAGTCCTTTGCAGCCCACCAGCCCGTCCTTTCCATGCTCGAACTATCAGCAGTGCTCATTTTAGGGGTTTTGGATTTTTTAAATTTTTGATACAGAGTCTCACTCTGTCTCCCAGGCTAGAGGGCAGTGGCCCAGTCGCAACTCACTGCAACCTCCGCTTCCCAGATGGAAGCAGTTCTCCTGTCTCAGCCTCCCGAGTAGTTGGGACAGACAGGTGCGCACCATCATGCCTGGCTAATTTTTTGTGTTTTTAGTAGGGACGGGGTTTCACCATGTTGGCCAGGGTGGTCTTGAACTCCTGACCGCAAATGATCCACCTACCTCTGCCTCCCAAAGTGCTGGGATTACAGGCATGAGCCACCACGCCCGGCCAGGCTTTTGGATTTTTGAACTTCCTTTCTGACAAGGAAACTTGCACCAGACGGTAGTGAGTTTCTGAGTAACAGCAGGGACTGAAAGCGACCAAGTGTTTGCACACCTCGAGACTGCCTCCCTGTTCCAGAATGAGAAGCTGAGATCCAGGTGGACGGCGCCGGGGCCCTGCGGCTGGTGAGGGCGCTGTGCAACGCCATGTGGCACACGGCCACACTCTCCAGCACTGACGTGCGCACGGCCTACCAGCTGCTGGGCCGCATCCTGCAGCACGAGAGCCGGCAGCAGGGATTCGACCTGGCGGCCACACAGGATGTTGACTTCCACGAGGTAGGATGGCCGCAGGCCCAGCTCGGGGACACTCAGGGATGCCGGCAGGCGGGCGCTATGGGGCCGAGCATCGACCCCAGCTTGTAGAAGATGGTTGTGTCCAGAATCCCTGAGGCAAACACTCATTTTGCAAATGTGAGCCCCGGCAGGTGCGGCCCCCAGCTAAACTGACGATGAAGGCTAGGGAGTTTTCTGGGAGGAAACGCGCAGGTCACCGCCCCGTGGGTGATCTCAGTAGTGCCCAGAGTGTGGTCTAAGTGGCTTCTAAGAGGTTCTAGCCGGGCACAGGGGCTCACGCCTGTAATCCCAGCACTTTGGGAGGCTGAGGCAGGTGGATCACCTGAGGTCAGGAGTTAGAGACCAGCCTGACGGTGTGTGCCTGTAGTCTCAACTATACTCTGGAAACTGAGGCAGGAGAATCACTTGAACCTGGGAGGTGGAGGTTGCAGTGAGCTGAGATCATGCTACTGCACTCCAGCCTGGGCAACAGAGCGAGACTCGGTCTCAAAGAAACAAATAAATAAAGGTTCTAAGTGGCTCACCTGAATCAGCCCCCTCTCCCTTCCCCACAGCCTATGATGTAATATCATCCACCCATTTGACAGGTAAGGAAACGGAGGCACAGAGAGCTGAGGGGTTTGCCCAGAGGCACAGCTCCTAAGGGGCAGTGGGCTTTCAGAGGGCCACGCCTCTATCTCCACCCTCCCGCCCCATGTGCCGAAGTCGTCAGCCCCTGAGCACTGTCTGCTAAGAGACTCACACAGCTGATGTTTGGAAACGGCTCTTGGAGGCTCCAGAAGTTTCCTTTGACTTCTGGGCAGGTCTCTTCACCCATGCAGGACCCCCAGAGGAGTGCCTGTCCACACAGAGCCCGTGGGGGATGCCCCATTCCTCACCCCATTCACAGGGAGCCCTCAGGGACCTCCTCATCCATGCAGGCCTCACACAGGGCTTCCAGTCCATGCAGGGCCCCCCATGAGAGCTTCAGGTGTGCACAAGGCTCCCAGAGACAAGGCAGGGTCCTCTCGCTGGGATTTGAGTCCCAGCCTGAGAGTTGGGCCAGTGGCATTTGTTTTCCATGCGTGACTCTACAAACAAGTTCCCTCCCGGTTTCTTTTCTTTTTTTTTTTTTTTTTTTTGAGATGGGGTCTTGCTCTATTGCCCTAGGCTGCAGTGCAATGGCATGATCTCAGCTTACTGCAGCCTCCACCTCCTGGGTTCAAGCAATTCTCCTGCCTCCGCCTCCCCAATAGCTGGGATTACAGGCACCTGCCACTGTGCCTGGCTAATTTTTTGTATTTTTAGTAGAGACAGGTTTTCACTGTGTTGGCCAGGCTGGTCTCAAACTCCTGATTTCAGGTGATCCACCTGCCTCAGCCTCCCAAAGTGCTGGGATTACAGGTGTAAGCCACTGTGCCCGGCCCTGGTTTCTACCTTGGGCGTGGTCCCCAAACCCCTGAACATGGCCCCACACCTCCACCCAGTCATTCAGAGACCCCGAGGTGCAGAGGCAGAGGTTCACCCTTGGAGGAGCTGCCTGTGTGTCCACAGTGGCCTCAGTGGGGTTTGGGAGGAGTTCTGATAAAACCAGGGACGTCTCCACATGTCTTCAGCTTAGCATCTTGGGGTATATGTGGAAAAAAACCTGTGGCAGGGCTCACTCTGACAGTTCGGGCCTCTGGCAGCGAATCACCCACAGTCTCTCTAGTTTATGTGGTGGGGTTCGGGATGTATGGAAATCACACATTAAAAAATACTTCTTATCTATTTGAATTCAACTTTGATTAATGTTTGATCCTATTTATAAACTGAGACCATCAAATTCCCTTACGTATTTTAAATGGAATCATATGTCAGATATTTGATTTTTCTTTTTGTATTTCAGTTTGGCTAGCAAACAGATCTTCCAAGCATTTAAACAGGGCTTGTAAATCTAATAAATAAGGCCAAAAATATGAAGCATCTTGAATTCTCTGGATTTTTATATACTTTGTGAGCTATATAAAAATATACCATCTATTCCTCTTAAGATGGTAAACTTAAAAAAAAAAAAAAAAAAAAATTGGAAACTGGGCCAGGCTCAATGGCTCACACCTGTAATCCCAGCACTTTGGGAGGCCGAGATGGGTAGAGCAACCTGAGGTCAGGAGTTCAAGACCAGCCTGGTCAACATGGTGAAACCCTGTCTTTACTAAAAACACAAAAATTAGCCGGGTGTGTTGGCGCATGTCTGTAATCCCAGCACTTTGGGAGGCCGAGGCAGGTGGATCACCTGAGGTCAAGAGTTCAAGACCAGCCTGGACAACATGGTGAAAGCCTGTGTCTACTAAAAATACAAAAATTATCCAAGTGTGGTGGCACATGCCTGTAATCCCAGATACTTAGGAGGCTGAGGCAGGAGAATTGCTTGAACCCAGGAGGCGGAGGTTGTAGTGAGCCGAGATCACACCACTGCATTCCAGCCTGGGCGACAGAATGAGATTCCATCTCAAAAAAAAAAAAAAAATTATAAACTCATGTTAAAGCGCACAGTCTAAAGTACGGGGCCGGAATGAATGAATGAGCCCACTAGATGAGCAAAGGCTTTCAGGGCTGGTGTCCCTTGGTCCCAAGAGCCAGGCCTCCCTCCGCTGGCGGAGCACTGAATGCTGTCTGTCTAACCAGGACATCATCTACTCGGGCAGCGCCCTCCTGGCCCCGGCCACCAGCACAGCGTGGGAGCAGATCCAGTGGAGCGAGGGTGGCACGGCACAGCTGCTCCAGCACCTTGAGGGCTACTTCAGCAACGTGGCACGCAACGTGCGGCGGACGTACCTGCGGCCCTTCGTCATTGTCACCACCAACATGAGTAAGGAGCTGGCTGCAAGGGGAGTGGAACCCCGCGATCATCGGGGCTCTACCCAGGAGCTGGGCCCATGGGTGTAGCAGGTGGGCTCCCGGCCATGCTTAGCCACGCTCTTAGAAAAACAATTTAGGGGTCGGGTGCGGTGTCTCACGCCTGTAACTCCAGTATTCTGGGAGGCCAAGACAGGCAGATCATGTGAAGTCGGGAGTCAGCTCATCCGTTGACAGATGCCTGGGTCATGTCCACCTTTTGGCCTGTGTGAATGGTGCTGTTGTGAATGTGGGTGTGCAAATATCTGGGTCCTTGCTTTTAGTCTTTTGGGTGTAGAGCCAGAAGTGGGTTTGCTGGGTCATGTGGTAAATCCTATGACCCAGCCTGGCCAACATGGTGAAACCCTTCTCTACTAAAAGTAGAAAAAGTAACCAGGCATGGTGGTGCACACCTGTAGTCCTAGCTATGCTGGAGGCTGAGGCAGGAGAATCACTTGAACCTGGGAGGCAGAGGTTGTGGTGAGCTAAGATTGGGCAACTGCACTCCAGCCTGGGGGACAGGAAACTGTCTCAAAAAAAAAACCAGCAGCTAGGCCTGTTTCCTCATCTGTGAATGGAGTCTTTGGAAGACAGTCTGCAGTGACTCACCCATTGCTCCCAGGGGCCAGGTCCCAGGCTTGGGAGATGTTGGGCCATGATCTTGGGTGTCCAGCCGGCAGGTCCTCCAGACCCTCAGGTGTGAGACTCTAGAAGGGTGGGTGTCAAGGGTCCTGCCTCCAGGCTCACTGCAGACAGGTGTAGGTACACGTGGGGTGCAGGAAGCTGGAAATCGATTCTGTTCTAAAGATGGTCAGTCAACCAGGCGTGGTACTTCACACCTGTAATCCCAGCAGTGTGGGAGGCCAAGGTGGGCAGACTGCTTGAGCCCAGGAGTTCGAGACCAGCCTGGGCACTGTAGTGAGACCCCTTCTCTATTAAAAAAATAAATAAATTAGCCAGGTGTGGTGGCATGCTCCTGTATTCCCAGCTACTCAGGAGGCTGAGGTGGGAGGATTGTTTGAGCCCAGGAGATTGAGGCTACAGTGGGCTGAGATTGCACCACTGCACTCCATCCTGGGTGAGAGAGTGAGACCTGGTCTCAAAAAATAAATATAAATAAATAGGCTGGGCACAGTGGCTCGTGCCTGTAATCCCAGCATTTTGGGAGGCTGAGGCAGGCGGCTCACTTGAGGTCAGGAGTTTGCGACCAGCCTGGCCAACATGGCGAAATGCCATCTCTACCAAAAACACAAAAAATTAGCCAGGTGTGATGGTGCATACATGTGATCCCAGTACTCGGGAGGCTGAGACAGGAGAAGTGGTTGAAGCTGGGAGGCAGAGATTGCAGTCAGCCAAGATCACACTGCTGCACTCCACCGGGGGAGACAGCGTGAAACTCCATCTCAAAAAACCAATTTTTAAAAAAATTAAATAAATAAATAAGGCCAGCCAATCAGTGTGACAGTTGTAGTCATTTTGAAAACAGCGACCGGGCACAGTGGCTCATGCCTCTAATCCCAGCACTTTGGGAGGCCAAGGCAGGTGGATCACAAGGTCAAGAGATCAAGACCATCCTGGTCAACATGGTGAGACCCCGTCTCTACCAAAATACAAAAAATTAGCTGGCATGATGGCACGTGCCTGTAATCCCAGCTACTCAGGAGGCTGAGGCAGGAGAATTGCCTGAACCCAGGAGGCGGAGGTTGCGGTGAGCTGAGATCGCGCCATTGCACTCCAGCCTGGGTGACAAGAGCGAAACTCCCATCTCAAAAAAAAAAAAGAAAAGAAAACAGCAAGGGTTCAAGACAGCTGTGGGGGTTATGTCTGATTAAAGGAACTGTGCCCCCAGTTCTTGCTGTCAACATCTTTGACAAGTTGAACTTCAGGGGAGCCACAGTGCCATGGTTCGACGCCATTCAGGAAGAGTTCCCCAGGGAGCTGCAGTCCTCTGTCTCCTTCCCAGCTGACTTCTTCAAACCACCTGAAGAAAAAGGTAAAAGCTCTTAGAAATCTGCTGCTGCCCTCGACACCCCCAGAGTTCTGGGAGGGGGAGGCCCCTGCAGCATCCCAGGAGGGTGAATACGCCATGCTCTGGGCACTGAAGATCCAGGGCTGGGGTGTTCTGAGTGTTGGCCAGTGCCAGGTCCTTTTGGTGGCCATGGGTTGTTTCAAACAAGCGCTTAGGTACAGGTTGAGCACCCTAATCCTGAAATCTGAACTGCTTCAGAATCTGAACCTTCTGGAGCACCAACCTGACACTGGAAGGAAGTGCTCGTTGTAGCATAAGTATGAATACTTAAAAAAAAAATCCAGGCTGGACGCGGTGGCTCACGCCTGTAATCCCAGCACTTTGGGAGGCCGAGGTGGGCAGATCACCTGAGGTCTGGAGTTCGAGACCAGCCTGGCCAACATGGTAAAACCCCATCTCTACTAAAAAATACAAAAACTAGCCAGCTGTGGTGGCAGGCACCTGTAATCCCAGCTACTCAGGAGGTGGAGGTATGAGAATCGCTTGACCCCAGGAGGCGGAGGTTGCAGCATTGAGATGCACCAGCCTGGGCTATAGAGTGAGACTTTGTCTCAAAAACAAAAATCCAAAATGTTCCTAAGCATTTCAGCTGATGGATACTCAGCCACGTAACTGATAATGTGAACAAGAAAACAGAACTGAAATTTGTGTGTACGCTGGTTTTCGGTGTGCAGTGAAAAGCTGCTGCTAGCTGGGTACGATGGCTCACACCTGTAACCCCAACCCTGGGAGGCTGACATGGGGAGGATCTCTTGAGCCCAGAAATTCAAGAGCAACCTGGGCAACATAGGGAAACCCCATTTCTACCAAAAAAGTTTTTTGTTTTTTTTTTTTAATTACCTGGGCATGGTGGTGCCCACCTATAGTCCCACCTACTCAGGAGGCTGAGGCGGGAGGATTTCTTGAGCCCAGGAGATGGAGGCTGCAGTGAGCTGTGGTCATGCCACTGCAGCCCAGCCTATGCAACAGAGAAAGAACCTGTGTGGGGGGTTGGGAGGTGGAAGGCCGCCTTTAAATAGAAATAAAAATTTTAGAGTCACCTTCCCCTCCCTGAAAGAAACAACCACAAAACCCAAACCAGAATGCCGTCTGTGTATGTGTAGATCCTCAGTCCTGGGTTGAGATAGGTGATACGAAACAGTATAAACATTTCGAATTTTCCTAAGGTGCTTTTTCACAGATCCATGACAATCACTAAAAACGTCCCAAAATAAAAAGGACATGAAAAGGTAAACCCCTTAATGGACCGTTTAGAATCTGAAACCTTGTGACTAAAGCGATTTTGTCAGGTATATCTCGTGTCATTAAAAGAGGGGTGACTGATACGGGGCTGTGCCTGAAACTGAGAGGATGAGGTTTGAAACTGACTAGGCCCCCCCCCCCCCCCCCCGCCCGCCCCTGCAGCCAGCTCTCTCTGGAACTAATAGAGTGAGAACTTGCTCATTACCAATGGGAGGTACCAAGCCATTCATGGGGGATCCACCCCTGTGACCCCCAACACCCCCGACCATGTGCAGGTCTAACGCTGATCACATTTCAACGTGAGATTTGGAGGGGCCAGTCATCCAGACTATATCAGATACATTCATGTTGAAGCAGTCCATCTCCAGAACTCTCTTCATCCTGCAGATCTGAAACTCTAGCCCGCAAAACGCCAACACCCCTCCCCAGCCCTAGTGCCCACCTTGCTTGCTTTCTCTGAATTGGACTCCTCTAGGGAACTCCTATAGGTGGAATCACGCAATTATTTGTTCTTTTGTGATTGGCTTATTTCACTGAGCGTAATGTCCTCTAGGTTCACGCATGTCGTGGTAAGTGTCAGACTGCTTCCTTTTGAAGGCTGAGTAATATTCCATTGTGTGGATGGACCACGTGTGTTTATCCTCTCACATGTTGATGGATGCCTGCGTCGTGTCCACCTTTTGGCCTGTGTGAATGGTGCTGTTGTGAACGTGGGTGTGCAAGCATCTGTGTCCCTGTGTTCAATCTTTTGGATGTAGAACCAGAATTGGGCTTGCTGGGCCATGCGGTAAATCCTATTTTTGATTTTTTGAGGACCTGCCATATTGTTTTCAGTGGAACATCTGTTGGTTTGTGAGAAATGCCTGTTGGCCCTGACCTCAGCCTTGGAGAATGCAGGTGTTCCCGCCAGAGTCCTCACGCTCTGCTCACGTTGCAGAAGGCCTTCTGGGGAGACCGGCCGGCCGGAGGACCACCCCTCAGACCACGTGACTGGGACCGGGCACCGAGAGGGAGGCTCCAATCAGCAGGCGGAGGCGACACCCTGATGATGCTGGCCAGTTCGCCGTCGCTCTGGTCATCATTTACCGCACCCTGGGGCAGTTCCTGCCTGAGCACTATGACCCAGACCACCGAAGCCTTTGGTAAGGCCCTGGCATGTGGACATGGGGAGGGTCCGTTTCAGAGGTCCCCAAGGCTTCCACAAGTCAAAATTCTGATCTTGATCAAGCACAGGTCTTCACAGCAGCATTTCACCAGGACCCTGGCCCAGAGACAGAGACCACTGCCCTGCGGTGTCCCTTGGAGGGAGGTTCTGGGTCTGCCACTGGATGCCATCCCCTGGAGCACCATACACCCTTTGCCTGGGCTTATCCCAGTGCTTCTGCCAGAAATGCCCCCTCCCCAGCATACACCCCATCTTGTGCCCTGAGGGGGACCCCATGCTGTCCCCACAGGCCCTACCCGAGGCTGTCGTGGGTGGTGCCTGCTGCTGGCCCTGGGGCTGCTCAGCCCGTCCCGGCTGGAAAGGATGGATGTCGGGAAGCAGCTTTGTGGCCCCCTCAGTGGGAGCAGCCCGAGCCTCTGCCTTTCCTCCTTTTGCAGTTTCCCAGACACTTCCCTGACTCTGGGGTCCTCGTGATCACATGGTTCTCAGTGACCGGGTGATTCACCCCTGAGAGCTGCCATTATTCTGCTGTCTTTGGACATTTAAGCCACCACCTGTTTGTCTGCCGTTAACTGTTTTGACTATAATGTCTTCGCACCTGTGCCTTCTGTTTCTTTTTGAATTTCTGACCCGAAGATGACACATCTCCCTGTGGGCTGTGTCAGTGATAAAACCTGCACATTGTGCAGGGGGATGAAGACATTGTGGGGCCTGCGGCTCTGAGCTCTCTGCATGTGATTCTGTGTCCCCTAGAGCCACATTCGTGGCATGTCCTCAGGGCGTTTGTGTGAATGTTTCCTAATCATGTCTGTCCACATGCTCTGGTTTCTTGACCTCAGGCTGCCTCACCGGCCCATCATTAATACCCCGATGGTGAGCACGCTAATGTACAGTGAGGGGGCTCCGCTCCCAAGACCCCTGGAGAGGCCTGTCCTGGTGGAGTTTGCCCTGCTGGAGACGGAGGAGCGAACCAAGCCCGTCTGTGTGTTCTGGAACCACTCCCTGGTGTAAGTGTGGCGCCGGGAGCCCCACATCCCCATGTGAGGACTTTGCCAAGTCAGAGCACCGCAGGGTTGGGGGATCGGTGGCAGAGCGTCCCACGAGGATGGTCCCTTGTGGCCTGTGTCTCCCCTTCCAGCCCCTTGTGGGGCAGTCAGCCTCCTGCTCTGCTTCTGTGGAAGCATCAGAGCCCCCCAGATGCCCACACACAGACATACACAGACCCGCACATGGAGACGCAGACATGCAAACACATGCAGGCCCACACACACATGCAGGCTCACACACATATGCAAACCCACAGGCGCACACAGATGCACACACACAGGTGCACACGCACAGGTGCAAATGCGCAGGTGCACATGCACAGGTGCACATGCACACCCACAGATGTACACCCACAGGTGCACACGCACAGATGCACACCTGCAGATGCATACTTGCAGATTCACACATGGATGCACATGCACAGATACACACCCACAGATGCACACACACAGGTGCATGCAGACTTACACGTGGAGAGGCAGACATGCAGGTGCACAGAGAGATCCCTCAAGGCTGACACCCAGGAAGGGGCTCCTCACCTGCCGGACTCCCGAGATGCAGCGGCCACACTAGTGTATTGGCCAGTTCATTGCTGGATAAGACAGAGACCTGTTCACACATGGGAGGGCAGACCCAGAGATTGGGCCCAGGAGCCCTTCTGCTGACAGTGGGAACCCTTAGCTATGTGTGCAGTCCCCATACCAGACAAGGGCCCCGATCCTAGTCTTGCCCAAGAGGCCGACACAGCCCAGCTTTGGGGACTGGCTTTACCCCCAAGAGGCCACATCTGGCCACAGCACAGGCCAGAAGCAGCATCAGAGAGTCAGCCAGCAGAGTGGCGAAGGCGGGAGGTGGTGCGCCCGAGTCTGTGTTTCAGCATGTGTTCCAGTGAGGGAAAGGTGTTTTGTAGTTAGAAAAAGCAGAATGACATTCTCACCCACACGTGAGAGTAGGTTCAGACTCGCGTGGCTCAGCTCTCCTGGGAGCCGGTGGTGTTTGTGCTTCACTTTGCCTTTTTAGCTGCAGGGTTTATGTGAGGCCTGGACTTCTTTGAGTTGCTCTGTCTTTACCAGGAGCTTGCCTCTACTCTGCCGGTTCATTTTCACTTTTGCTATCTCTGTTTAGAAGAAAACACTAGAACTGGGGAGTGGTGGGAGGATGGGAGCACAAGCTGGTGGGGAGACCCGATGTGTCTCCACATACTGGGAGGGAGTGCCAGGAAGGGGAGACACCATGCAGGACTTGGGGAGTCAGAGCGTGAGCACCCCCAGGCTCAAATCGGCCGAACATTGTGTATCTGGTGGCGTCCATGCAGCGGGAACACTCCCCCCTCCCCCCACCACCATTCTCCTGGGCAGAGTGGAGAGCCATGAGTGGCGGCTGTGCGGGGGGCCACGCCGTGGTGAGCGAGCTCATGCCAGGAGCCTGTTCAGCCCAGCCTTCTTCTCCTGCTTCTGTGCCTTCGAAGTCCTAGTTAATGAGCAACCAGCACAGTACCTGGAATGCAATAGGCGCTTGGCTTATAAAGGGGAGACTAAAGGAACCCCTTTCACCACGAGGGACGTCGGGCCAGCCGTCTGTCCTGGGCCTTCATCTGCATCCTGGCAGTTAGCTCTGGCTCTGATGCCCTGCTCTCTGCTTTATGCTGTACCTGTTAGTCCCAGATTGTAAAGTTTATGGCAGACATTAGTGTCCACGTCCCATTTTACAGGCAAGCAAACTAAGGATCTGAGAGGTGGTGTGATTTTCCGAGTCTGGGAGGGCAGGGCCCTGTCTGAAGCTGAGACACACCTGATAACAGCTTGCTCTCTGGGGCTTCCCATCAGGAAAGCGGAAGTCCCCATGGGGCCCTGGCTTCTGGGCAGCTCCCATAAAACATTGTTCAATCTGAAGATGCAAGTGTCAGAGGAAGGCAAGATGATCTCGTGAAAGCGTCTGTCCTCAGAAGGAGACAGGAGTGCATTGCAGCTCTGTGAACCCCAGTGGGCGGTTCCAGCAGCAGGGCGTGTGGTGGACGTGAGACGGCCCTGTTTGAGTTTTGCTGCCAGAGGACACATAGAACTTGAACTTCAGAGGCTGCTCCTTGGAGGCCCTGACAAGACACAGGAGGGAAGGGAGATTTCCCATGGTCCTGCCTTCATTGGGTGGCTTTTATTTATTTATTTTTCTTTTTGAGACAGAGTCTTGCACTGCCACCCAGGCTGGAATGCAATGGTGTGATCTCGGCTCACTGCAACCTCTGCCTCCTGCGTTCATGTGATTCTGCTGCCTCAGCCTCTCAAGTGGCTGGGATTACCGGTGCACACTACTACACCCAGCTGATTTTTTGTATTTTTAGTAGAGATGGGGTTTCATTATGTTGGCCGGATTGGTCTCGAACTCCTTCCCTCATGATCCACCCACCTTGGCCTCCCAAAGTGCTGGGATTACAGACATGAGCCACCACACCTGGCAACAGGTGTCTTATTTTCGGTGCAGGGGGCTGGTGAGGAACATGGTGGTGAGCAGCCTGCAAGGACGCGGGGCTTTCATCATTCACAGTACCTGCTGTTTGGTTTGGCCAGTGTGGCCCGTGAGCCCCTAGGGCTGGGCAGAGGCTGCCCCGACAGGCTCATGGGTGGAGGGAACCATCTCACCCCCGCCCCTTCTCTCTCCTATCCGCAGCGTCAGTGGGACCGGAGGGCGGTCTGCCCGGGGATGCGAGCTCCTGTCCAGAAACTGGACGCACGTCACGTGCCAGTGCAGCCACACAGCCAGCTTCGCGGTGCTCATGGACGTCTCCAGGCGTGAGGTGGGCATCCTCCTGTGGCCACTGTGCCCGCCAAGCCTACCCCCAAGTCTGCCCCCTCCTCAAACAAAATCTTCCACTGCAAGTGCTTTGAACAAAGCACATCAACCAGTTAAAAAACATTCCAGGACTGGCCAGAGTCCATGAGGATTTCCATAATAAAGCCCCGTGACAAGGGTTTTCAGAGCCCTGCTTATGCTTTATACCCTGGGATGACAGACCCAAAGCTCTCAGAGGAGCTCCCCAATCTGCCCCTCACTTCAGAGTGGGTCTGCTGGAAGGTGCCGCTGTCCAATTGCTTTAATTGTAAGGGAGGTGACAGCTGCTGGGCACAGTGGGTGCGCTCCCTCGGGGCCACACGCAGGGCCACAGGACAAAAGGCGGGGTGGCTAATGTTTAGCCTCTGGCATTTTAAGCGGCCTGGGAATGTGAGCCGGCTATTGTGGGCCTGCAGATGAATTGGGGAGTGGCCTGGGTGCTGTCCTGGCCTCCCATTACCGGGACAGGAAGTAGGTGGGAGCCAGCCTGGGCACGGCCTGTGGGGGACTCGGTGTCTAGGAGGCAGAACCAGAGTCCTGGGTGGCCTCCCCAGCCCCTCCCCAGGGCCATGCTGTGGCTCAGGCACCCAGACCACCATCCTTCCTGAGGGCTTTCTGATGTGAAGTGCCCCTGGTTTCTGTCACATTCTTGGAAGGGTGAGTCAGTCCTGAGGCAGGGCTGGAGGGGGGCTGTGGCTTTCTGTGCACTGTGCATGAGAAGCTGCCCTGCCTGTGCCCCCATCTCACAGGCAGAAGGCACTCCCCAGCAGGACCCAGCCTGGAGAAGGAGTCAGTGGTTAGTGACTTGGTTCATATAAGGGCGGGGTTGGAGGTGTTCTCATGGCCAGGATGCCAGGTGACATGGAAGCTGAAATTGAGGCAGAAGAAAGGAGGCTGGAGTGGGAGTCTGAGGCTCCCGTGGTCCGGGTGCCCCAAAGCCAGAATCTCTGAACAGTCCCCGAGCCAGTGGAGGGACCTGGGGTGTTACTGCAGGCCCCAGGGACACCCAGGGCCCACAGCATTGAAGGAGCCACAGGAGGGGCAGTTCCAGGCCCAGGGCCATGAGCACTCGGCCTCCCCGGCCCAGCCTGATCTTGGCTTCCCGGCTCAGTCCCATGTGGTAAACAACCCCTTCCAGAAGATACCAGAGAACCAGAGCTTGTGAATGCAGAAACGCCCGAGGGGCCAGGGCCCAGGGGCCTGGGGCCTGGACAGGTGTCCTGGTTTGTAAAAGCACAGAAAACACAGCAGCATGAGCACACGCTGCTGGGCTGCACACTTCAAAGCGCCCAAGAGGGCATGTTTTATGCCTTGTATATTTTACCACAATTTTTCTTTTCTTTTTTTTTTTTTTTCCTTGAGATGGGAGTTTTGCTCTTGTCACTAAGGCTGGAGTGCAGTGGCACAACCTCAGGTCACTGCAACCTCCATCTCCTGGATTCAAGTGATTCACCTGCCTCAGCCTCCAAAGTAGCTGGGATCACAGGCTCCCACCACCATACCTGGCTAATTGTTGTATTTTTGTAGAGATGGGTTTCACCATGTTGGCCAGGCAGGTCCCGAACTCCTGACCTCAGGTGATCCACCTGCCTAGGCCTCTGAAAGTGCTGGGATTACAGGTGTGAGCCACCATGCCCAGCCTTTATTATAAAACATGTTCAATGCCCATAAGAAATGCATAATAAGGTTGGCTGTGGTGGCTCGAAGCTGTAATCCCAGCACTTTGGGAGGCTGAGGCAGGCAGATCACTTGAGCTCACAAGTTTAAGACCAGCCTGAGAAACATAGTAAAACACTGGCTCTACCAAAAAATACAGAATCTAGCCGGGCATGGTGATGCGTGCCTGTAGTCCCAGCTACTTGGCAGGCTAAGGTAGGAGGATGGCTTGAGCCCAGGAGGCAGAGGCTGCAGTGAGCTGAGATCGTGCCTCTACACTCCAGCCTGGGCAACAGAGCCAGACCCTGTCTAAAAAATAAATAAATAAAAATAAAAAAGTATAGTAAGAGATCTGGAAATTTGAAAAGTAAGTTCATATAATGAGCTGTGATAGAGACATGTGGAGTGGGCATAGGACATCTGTGTGCTGGTGGTAATGATAGAACACGTCATAGTGAGGGTGAAGCAGGAACAACAGGATGGGTGAGGAGGGTACAGATGCCCGTTGCCATGGCAATTGAAGCATCAAGCCTGCCAGTCCACATAACTGAAACCTGAAGCTCCACTCATGCTCAGCGAGTTGTTTAGCTTTTCTTCTTTTTATGTGATGGAGTTTTGCTCTTGTTGCCCAGGCTGGAGTGCAGTGGAGTGATCTCAACTCACTGCAACTTCCCCCTCTCAGGTTCAAGCGATTCTCCTGCCTCAGCCTCCCACGTAGCTGGGATCTTAAGCGTGCACCACCACATCTGGCTAGTTTTGTATTTTTAGTAGAGACAGGGTTTCTCCACGTTGGTCAGGCTGGTCTCGAAGTCCCGACCTCAGGTGATCCACCAGCCTTGACCTCCCAAAGTGCTGGGATTACAAGCATGAGCCATTGCACCCAGCCTGTTTAGCTTCTTTAAGCATTGCTTTTCTCACCTGGAAGGAAGATGAGGGTCACATCTGCACTCTCCTCAGAGCTGTGATCTAAGGATGATGTGGAACGTGCTCTCGTCGGGTCTGTGAGAATGCCTGCTGCTTAATAAGTGCTCAGTAAAAGGTTTTGCTGAACAAAGGAAATTACATTCATGTCGTATTACCACAAGTACTCCTTTTCTTTGTAAAGTGAGGGTAAGTCTTTCAGCCAAAAGCATAAGTCCATGATACAATTACGAGGAAGTCCAAGAGGTATTGCATGCACCTGTGGAGGAGACACGTTTACCTTCCCCATACGCAGGAATTGCCTGTGGGGTTTTTAGTTGTTTTTTTTTTTTTTTTTTTTTGAGATGGAGCCTCCTTCTGTTGCCCAGACTGGAGTGTAGTGGCGTCATCTTGGTTCAATGCAAGCTCTCTGCTTCCTGGGTTCGAGGGATTCTCCTGCCTCATCCTCTTGGGTAGCTCGGATTACAGGCCCGCCACCACACCCAGCTAACTTTTGTATTTTTAGTGGAGACGGGATTTCACCATGTTGGCCAGGCTGGTCTCGAACTCCTGACCTCAGGTGATCCGCCTGCCTTAGCAGTCCCGTGCAAGCACCCTGGCTGGCGTCATCCTCGCCACCACCACCTCTGATTCACAGATGCCCAAGAGGAAACTGCCAGGTCACAGGCTGTGGGTGGAGGCATGGTATTCACCAGCAGGTCCAAGCACTTCACCACCCTCTTTATTGGGAGATGGGGGGGGCCTTTCTTTTTTTCTTTTGACATGGAGTCTCTGTCACCCAGGCTGGAGTGTAGTGGCATGATCTTGGCTCGCTGCAACCTCTGCCTGCCAGTTTCAAGCGATTCTCCTGCCTCAGCCTCCCTAGTAGCTGGGATTACAGGCATGCACCACCATGCGTGGTTAATTTCTGTATTTTTCATAGAGATGTGGTTTCACCATGTTGGCCAGGATTACCTCAAACTCCTGACCTCAGGTGATCCACCTGCCCTCTCAAAGTGCTGGGATTACCGGTGTGAGCCACCAGGCCCAGCCGGGGCCCTTTTCTGAAATTACGTATGGGGAGAGTTGACCCACATTGGATCTTTAGCTGCTGAATTCACAGTGACTTTGGGTGCATTTAACCCTTTACCTCAGTCACCATTCACACTGTCAGTAGCTGTACAATGAATGAGCACCTACTGTGAGCCTGGGGCTGGGAACATAGTGAGGAATGGAACAAGCAGTCTGGGTCCCCACCTTCCTGGAGCTGGTGATCCCACAGCTAAGCATCCCTGAGGGGTGTTCCCCAGCTGGGGTGACAGCAGAGGCTGCCCTGGAAAGTGGCTGAGATGGAAAGCTGGAGAGAGGTCCTCCAGTCAGCGGTCTAGGGAGGTGCAGAGACCAGAGCACACCCAGGGGGTGGCAGCATCCAGTGAGGAGAGCTGAGAACCCTGGCTGGCACAGCCCGGCCGCTGGCGTGGAGCCCAGTGAGGCACCAGTGGCCATGGCTGGAAAATCTAGTCTGTGTCCCTGTACTGAGGGTACTAGTCCTGACAGCCCTGTGACTTCACCCTGCCAGTGAGCTCAAGATAGGACCTCGGGCTCACACCTGTGATCCCAGCACTTTGGGAGTCCGAGGTGGGTGGATCACAAGGTCAGGAGATCAAGATCATCCTGTCTCTACTAAAATACAAGAAAATTAGCCTGGCATGGTGGCATGTACCTATAGTCCCAGCTACTGAGGAGGCTGAAGCAGGGAAATTGCTTGAACCCGGGCAGCAGAGGTTGCAGTGAGCTGAGACCATGCCACTGCACTTGAGCTTGGTGGCAGAGCAAGACTCTGTCTCAAAAAAAAAAAAACAACATAGGCCCTTGTTCATGACAGAGCTTAGAAGGTAAAGTGGGGTCAGAGTCAGCCTGTGTGTGGAGCTTACAAGAGGCCTAAAGGTTGAGAATGATGAGAAGGGAGATGACAGATAAGTACCAGCCGGAGTGAGCCTGGGGCTCTATACCATGAGCAGACTAACTCGGCTTGAGGAGGAACAGTGATATTTAGAGACAGTGCTGCTATAAAAAGGTCCATTCACTGGGAAGATATAAACTTAAATTTTTTTTTTTTTTTTCTTTTGAGATGGAGTTTGGCTCTTGTTACCCAGGCTGGAGTGCAATGGCGCGATCTCGGCTCACCGCAACCTCCGCCTCCTGGGCTCAGGCTCCTGCCTCAGCCTCCTGAGTATCTGGGATTACAGGCACGCGCCACCACGCCCAGCTAATTTTGTATTTTTAATAGAGATGGGGTTTTGCCATGTTGGTCGGGGTAGTCTCAATCTCCCAACCTAAGGTGATCCCCGCCTTGGCCTCCCAAAGTGCTGGAATTACGGGTGTGAGCCACCTCGCCTGGCCAAAAAATAGCATCTCATGCTGTCTGCTTGAGTTATCTGGAGATGGAAGTTAAGTGAAAGGTGCTCCCACCAAGGCCATTCTCCCTCCAACAGGGTGTCTCACTCAGTGGACACAATGAGCAGATAGCACCTAAATCCCACTGACAAATTAGGTGATAACAAATATTTGCTTCGAGCTTGTCACACTATGCTCTTCTAAACATGGTTCGAAAGGAAAGGCAGTGAGAAAGCCTTGGAATTTTATCATTTACTACAAGAAAGGGAGAGAATACTTTTTTCTTTCAAAAATATCTGTGTGGGTGGCAGTCATTCATTCATTCATTCATTTATTTATGTAAGTTTCACTTGTCACCCAGGCTGGAGTGCAATGTTCACTGCCACCTCTGCCTCCCGGGCTCAAGCAATTCTCTTGCCTCAGCCTCCTGAGTAGCTGGAATTACAGGCATCTGCCACGCCTGGCTAATTTACATTTCTAGCAGAGAAGGGGTTTAACAATGTTGGCCACCAGGCTGGTCATAAACTTTTGATCTCAGATTATCCACCTGCCTCAGCTTCCCAAAGTGCTGGGATTACAGGCCTGAGCCACTGCCCCCCATCAGATTTTTAAAACTATTCTGTGTCAATGGTGCAGATGAACTACCCTTGTGCCCAGGAGAAAGCAGTAGGGCATTTGAACCTCAGGCCACCGAAGCCGACCCCTGAAACGTGAGCCATGGTGAGAAATAAGCACAGAGGCAAAGCCCCTTGCCCGGTGTCACAGGAAGTGGTGAAGCTGGAACCTGACCTAGAAGTGTCTGATGTATACAAGCATGGACCGACTCTATACCCTGAAACTCCGTTATTGAAGGGAAAGAGAAGCACACAAAGCTCTCCAGTGCCCGGTCTCAGCAGCTCTCCCGTCATTTCCTCCTCCCTGCCTGGGGGCTGAAAGGGCACCTGCTCAGAGGCTGCACAGGTTTCTGTTGGAGGCCTGAATGGTGTCCTGTGTAGCAGCACAAGGTTTCCCTAGCAACCCCACCAGCCAAACGCACGCATTCCAGAGAATGCCACAGCCTTCTCCAAGGAAAGCCTCTTCCCTGCAACCAATCGGGCATCTGCCTTCATTGCCCTCCTACTCCCCGCACCTAGCAAGGGGCTGGTTTACGCTCAGGCTCCGTTGAAAGGATGAATGAACAAAAGCTTTGTCAGTCCTATGAAGAGCTTCCAATCCCCACTGGGCGTCCGCAGCACCGGGCTGCCCCTCCATAGAGCAGGTGTGTTGTTCACTAAGTAGGAAAGATCCCGCGTGTTAGGGCCTGGGCCCATTTTGTGCCTCTATCCCTAACGCAGCTCAGCATGCTGCACTTAGTAGGTGCTCAGAACTGAAATGAACCAGGGTTTCTTTTTATCCCAGAGTTTTGCTCTCATTGCTCAGGCTGGAGTTTAATGGCACAATCTTGGCTCACTGCAATTCTGCCTCAGCCTCCCAGTACCTGGGATGACAGGCACGTGCCGCCACCACGTCCAGCTTTTTTTTTTTTTAGACCAAGTCTCGCTCTGTGGCCAGGCTGGAGTAGTGGCATGATCTTGGTTCACTGCAACCTCCAACTCCCTGGTTAGACTGATTCTCCTGCCTCAGCCTCCTGAGTAGCTGGGATTACAGGCACACACCACACCCAGCTAATGTTTGTATTTTTAATAGAGACAGGGTTTCACCATGTCGGCCAGGATGGTCTCAAACTCCTGACCTCAGGTGATCCACCTTTCTAGGCCTCCCAAGGTGCTGGGATTATAGGCGTGAGCCACCGTGCCAGCCTTAAACCAAGGTTTCTAAGATGCTCTCAGCCTCCTCAGATCTGGCCCAGCCCACCTTTCCACCTTACCTTTTCTGCACAACTGCCCACAGCTAGCCCAGCCTACACAACAGCCAGTCTGGCTCCCCCACAATGCAGAGCCGGCACTGGCCACAGGAGCCAGGCCCAGTCCCATCCAGGGCCTGCCTGCTGCAGGTGAATGCTACAGACACAGCTGGTAGCACACGGCACTGTTTATTGTGACGCTCGGTGGAAAACATCTGTAGACCAGCTTACTGCAGTGGTGACCGCTGCAACACATGCTAAGGCACTTTTATTATATAAAAAGGGGGTAGGGCGGGAGTTCCACCTGCTCCTTTGTGACAGTAACTGGGACCTGAATTCAGAGCCTTGTAGGCATATGCAGCTTTCGTATCGCTTCATGATTTGAGAGTTTGTTTCCTTTAAAAAAAATGCCTTCTTGCCATAAGGCTCAATGCAGTATATAGAAAACGGTTAGAAATACAGGTAAATTCGGCAACCAGTGTAGACCAGTGAGGACAAGCTACTCTCTTCTAAAGAAAGGCAGTGAGAAAGCCTCAGAATTTTTTTTATTAAAAGAAAAAAAAAAAACCTTTTTATCTGCTTTCAAAAATATCTGTGCAGGTGGCAGATTTTTAAACCATACTGAATCTACCGTGCAGGTAAACTACCCTCGGGCCTGGAGGGAGACGGGATGGGCGTGGGAGGCACGTTCACAACAGTCCCAAGGTCGGGGGAGGTGTGCGGCAGGGTCTGGGAAGGGGAGGCTGCAGTGTCCGCCTGTCCATGTGTCTCAGGCTGCAGGAGAGGAGGCTTATTCAGAAGTTTGGCCTCAGTTCCATCTACTTTGCCATCCACCTCCTCATCCGAGCAATCGTCGGGGCAAACGGCAGGTCCCCATGCCTGGGGACAGAGGCAGAGGCAGGGTCAGTGGGGCCTGGCCAGAGAGGCTGCAGCACGGCACACAAATCCCAAAGCAAATTCGAGAGGGAAATCAGGCGCCTGGCTGCTCCCACCAGAAAGAAGCAAGGCGGAGCCTTGGGAGCCACAGCTCAGCTGCACACAACCACTCTCAAAAACATCTTCCCGCAAAATATTTAGTGGTCAGACATTTTCATACACAACAGCAGCACACAAACAGTTCAGGCAAACAGGAACAGTTACAACAGGAAAGGCAGAAAAGTGTGAAATGCCACTTTCTGTTCCAACTCATAAAACAGCCCACGCACACCTGTCTGACCAGCTGCTGCTGCTTCTCCTCACTCTGCTCGTCCCGGCCCTGCAGGTCCCGCTCGAACTGGATCTTCATGGCCTGCAGGTTGACCTCCAGCTGCAGATTGGCATTTTCAGTGTCCTGCAGCTCATCCTCCAGCTCCTCCAGCTGGGTCTTCAACTCCACCTGCTGCTCCAGAAGCCACCTGGGCTTCAGCTCATGGACCTGAGCCCCAGCGGGTACACACACAGGCACCTTCTATCCCACGGCAGGAAATTCACATCCAATACTGACTACTGGTGCTTAAAAAAAGGCCCCATGAAGGCCAGACATGGTGGTGCATGCTTGTAATCCCAGCACTTTGGGAGACCGAGGCAGGTGGATCACCTGAGGTCAGGAGTTTGAGACCACCCTGGCCAACACAGTGAACCGCCATCTCTACTAAAAGTACAAAAATTAGCCAGGCATGGGGACACACACCTATAATCCCAGCTACTTGGGAGGCTGAGGCAGGAGAATCGCCTGAACCTAAGAGGCAGAGGTTGTGGTGACACAAGATTTTGCCACTGCACTCCAGCCTGACTCTGACTCAAATGTATTTTAAACCTACGATTATTCTTGCTACATGATATGACGTATCAGAGCTGTTTTTATGTGTTCATTCTTCAATTATTGGTGAGGGGAAAATTTCCAAGAGTGCACTGGGTGAGGCCTTCTGAACTCCCCCATGCCTGGGCCTGCACTTGCCTGTTTGCTTCTGTGTTTCATGTACTCAGCCATGCACCGTTCTGCAAGTTTGCTGTTGGACTATTGTTTCCACTCACCTCTGAGCCTGTGTCTCCATTAGTGAGGTGTGGCTGGAAGCACCCAGGACCTTCCCACGAGGCGCCACCCTGCAAGGTTCCCACCCCAGTGCCCTGGCCTGTAGCTGGCTCAGCTGGGCACCGCCCGCCCTCACCCGCCGCTTCCGCAGCTGCTCGATGGCTTCATCCCAGTTCCTGTTGGCCGAGTCAATGTGCGCCTCCAGGTCAATCTCCAGCTTCTTCCGGGCGGCCACTGCCATGGAGTGCCTCTTCCTCTCGTCCTCCAGCTCTGCCTCCATCTCCCGCACCTGGAGGAAGGAACACTGACAGCTTGGGAAGCTGGACCCACTCAGAGACCCTGCTCTGGCTCTGAACCCAGGTGCCTCTGCAGGATCTGAGGGGCCTCCAGAAGCCAGTGGGCATTACTGACTCTAAGAACTCTAAGAAGGTAAGTCGCTGACCCGAGGGACAGCGGACTGGACAGGAGGGACGGGGAGGGGAGGCGTGGTCCAGGGCCCTAACACAATCCAGGTGGAAGGAGGAAATGGAAGCCTGGGTGAAGCCAGGGCAACCCTGGCCACCGTGGGGTAGCAGGAGCCCACGCACACCTGTCTGACCAGCTGCTGCTGCTTCTCCTCACTCTGCTCGTCCCGGCCCTGCAGGTCCCGCTCGAACTGGATCTTCATGGCCTGCAGGTTGACCTCCAGCTGCAGATTGGCATTTTCAGTGTCCTGCAGCTCATCCTCCAGCTCCTCCAGCTGGGTCTTCAACTCGTCCACCTGCTGCTCCAGAAGCCACCTGGGCTTCAGCTCATGGACCTGAGCCCCAGAGATCCCAAGTCAGGAGCAAAGAGACCGGCAGGGACCTGGGTCTGCTAGACCCGGAACGTGTGTATGCGTTGACCCTCTGTGATGACCCCGCTCGGGCCCCTCCCAAGGCCTGGCTGCCAGGCCCGGCACTCACGCTCTTGCCCTTGGAGCTCATGATGTCCTCCATCTCCACGCGGAACTGCTTGTTGAGCCGCTCCAGCTCCACTTTCTGCTCCATGGCTTCCTTCAGGGCCCGGGCCAGCGACAGCGCCTTGGTCTCCTTCTCTCGGGCCTCGGCCTCGGCCCGGTCACGCTCCTCTGCATACTTGGCAGAGATGGTCTTCTCCTCTGCCAGGAGCTGGGAAAGAGAGGGGCACCATGAGGCTCAGCCCCACAGGCTCCGAGCTACAGCCCCTAGCTCCTGAGATGGGGTTTGACCATGTTGGCCAGGCAGCTCTCGAACTCTTGACCTGACGATCCGCCCGCCTCAGCTTCCCAAAGTTCTGGGCTTATAGGCATATAAGCCCATGCCCAGTCAAGAGTGCATTCTTTAGAGTATACAGGCCCCACAGTCTGCAGAAACTCAACCCCACTACAACAGCGCAACAACCAGAGATGACACAAGAACGACACAGTGTGTGTGTGCCTTCGGTCCAGCTTTCTCCCCAAAACGCAGCAGGCTGGACCCGGTCGCTGCAGTTCCATGCTTGATGTCTATCCTGCCCCAGTGTTCACATCTCCCTCAGCTTCCCACAGATCTTTTGGAATAAGGAAGCAATATGAATGCACAAATAAACGGTTTAAATGACAGGAAAACCAGTTCATTATAGGAAATCTGAAAAAAAACGTGAAAACTCAGAAAGGAAAAGTTCCTTCTCAACCCACTGCATGAAGACACCCTCTTCCGCTGGCCTTCTCCCCAAGCCCCTCAACAAGCCAGAGACTAGGGGTCCTCTAAGTGCTGGCCCCGCACGACCCCTCCCGGGCAAGGTCTCGAGGGAGCCCAGGGTTTCTCTGATGAGGCCCTCGCCTTGGGCTGAGTGCCGGAAGGAGAGAAAATGCAAAGGATGGGGTGGATGGCTACACACCTGGTCAAACTTCTGCTTCTCCAGGTGGCACACTATCTGGCGCTGGTGGTCCAGGTCCACAAGCAGGTCGTCCTGCTCCTGCCGGGCCTGGCGCTTGGCACGCTCCGCGGCTGCCAGTTCCTGCCACAAAGATCCAGAATGTGACCTGAAGGCAGCCACAGCCCCACAAGACCATCCTTCCCAGCCCTGGGCAGCCTCCTCTCAAGCCCTTCCCCAGCCCCACTGCCCCAGAAAGCTCTTCCTCCAGGATTCCTCTAGCTCACAGGGCTGGTGCCCCCCTAAAGTCATAGCTTAAAAGCATTGTATGTTTATAAAACTCAACTACATTTAAGTGCTAGGAATCAAGCCAGGTACCAGGGTGTGTTGATGACTAACAAGTGTCCTGGCCTAACCAGGGCAGACCACATGGACAGAGCCACTCACTGCTGCCCCGGCCCTGTTCTGGGTAGCCAGAGCCCGGAGTCAGCTCCGGAGCCTGCAGGCAGGAGACGGCTGCACCCTGGACGCAGTCACACCCGGCAAGTCACACTGCAGGGCACCCTCTAGACCCAGGAAACACTTCAGGACTGACTCAGGTGCGACACGGACAGGGCAGCCATGGGGATGCTGAGACCCTCCCTCACCAGAACACGGTCACGGCAGGAGGTGGTGGCGGCCACGGAGCCTCGTCTGATGTGAGGCATTTCACTCACACACAATCTCATCATACCAGGGAGGCCCACTATGTAATGGAACCCTGGAGGGAATCCTTTTGTAACAAGAGAGCTGTCCCCAGCCAATTCCTGGAGCTGAGTAGGACCCTAGCCCTGCCCTCTGCTGAAAGCCCTGTGCTGCCACCTGCTGGCTGCCGGGCAGCAGTGCCGCTCTCCACTGCCACCCCACCCACCTCGTGCAAGCAGATCATCTCGGCCTCCACACTCTTCAGGTTCCTCTCATTCTCTTTGGCCGGGGCCAGGATCTCCTCGCGAGAGGTGCGTGTGTCGTCCAGCTCACGCATGCAGTGTTTAACCTGGGCCTGGGGCAGGGACAGGCTTGGCACCCCACCCAGGTCCTTAGCCCTCGGCCCTCCCCCACCCTCAACTGTCATCTCGCACACAGGGATGGCTGTGCTCTGCTCGATATTTAACCAACCATGGTGACAGGAAGAAAAAGCAACTGAGGACAAAAATCTGTGTCCCACTTCATAACACAGACTTTGACAGTGTTGGTCACTGTGGACGTAAGCCCAGGCTGAGCTTCATTTTCTACTTCTGACCCCTCTGTGGGCCAGAGACCAGTGCCCACGGTGCCACCCCTAATGCGCACCTGCCGCTTGAAACCAGTGCCCAGCCTGGCAGGTGTCCCCACCACAGGCAGGAAACACCTTTCCTTTTGTTACCCACCTCCTATTTGTTTTAATGCTAAAGATTTTTGTCAAATATTCTTTTTTTCCATTTGCAGATAACTCCAAAAACAGATTCCCCAAGCCAAAGCGCATGACTGGGTGTGTGCAGCCAGTCCACAGCAACAGAACATGACAACAGCAGAGTAACCTTGCCCACAGTTAGCTTTTACAGATTTTTTTTTGCCCAGGCACAGCAGCTCACGCCTGTAATCCTGAGGCTGTCAGATCACGAGGTCAGGAGTTTGAGACCACCCTGGCCAACACAGTGAACCGCCATCTCTACTAAAAATACGAAAATTAGCCAGGCATGGGGACACGCACCTATAATCACAGCTACTTGGGAGGCTGAGGCAGGAGAATCGCCTGAACCCAGGAGGCAGAGGTTATGGTGACACAAGATTGCGCCACTGCACTCCAGCCTGGGCAAAAGAGCAAGACACTGACTCAAATGTATTTTAAACCTACGGTTATTCTAGCTACATGATATTACATATCAGAGCTATTTTTATGTGTTCATTATTCAATCATTGGTGACGTGAAAATTTCCAAGTATGTATCCCACACTCTAGGCTGCTTCTCGAAACCATCACGCCGGAGCTCAGAAGGCTGGAGCATCAGGATGTGGCTGATGCTGGAGTCTGCACTGGGTGAGGCCTTCTGAACTCCCCCATGCCTGGGCCTGCACTTGCCTGTTTGCTTCTGTGTTTCATGTACTCAGCCATGCACCGTTCTGCAACTTTGCTGTTGGACTATTGTTTCCACTCACCTCTAAGCCTGCGTCTCCATTAGTGAGATGGGGCTGGAAGCACCCAGGACCTTCCCAAGAGGTGCCACCCTGCAAGGTTCCCACCCCAGTGCCCTGTTATGTAGCTGGCTCAGCTGGGCACCGCCCGCCCTCACCCGCCGCTTCCGCAGCTGCTCGATGGCTTCATCCCAGTTCCTGTTGGCCGAGTCAATGTGCGCCTCCAGGTCAATCTCCAGCTTCTTCCGGGCGGCCACTGCCATGGAGTGCCTCTTCCTCTCGTCCTCCAGCTCTGCCTCCATCTCCCGCACCTGGAGGAAGGAACACTGACAGCTTGGGAAGCTGGACCCACTCAGAGACCCTGCTCTGGCTCTGAACCCAGGTGCCTCTGCAGGATCTGCGGGGCCTCCGGAAGCCAGTGGGCATTACTGACTCTAAGAACTCTAAGAAGGTGAGTCGCTGACCCGAGGGACAGCGGACTGGACAGGAGGGACGGGGAGGGGAGGCGTGGTCCAGGGCCCTAACACAATACAGGTGGAAGGAGGAAATGGAAGCCTGGGTGAAGCCAGGGCAACCCTGGCCACCGTGGGGTAGCAGGAGCCCACGCACACCTGTCTGACCAGCTGCTGCTGCTTCTCCTCACTCTGCTCGTCCCGGCCCTGCAGGTCCCGCTCGAACTGGATCTTCATGGCCTGCAGGTTGACCTCCAGCTGCAGATTGGCATTTTCAGTGTCCTGCAGCTCATCCTCCAGCTCCTCCAGCTGGGTCTTCAACTCGTCCACCTGCTGCTCCAGAAGCCGCCTGGACTTCAGCTCATGGACCTGAGCCCCAGAGATCCCAAGTCAGGAGCAGACTGGCAGGGACCTGGGTCTGCTAGACCCGGAACGTGTGTATGCGTTGACCCTCTGTGATGACCCCGCTCGGGCCCCTCCCAAGGCCTGGCTGCCAGGCCCGGCACTCACGCTCTTGCCCTTGGAGCTCATGATGTCCTCCATCTCCACGCGGAACTGCTTGTTGAGCCGCTCCAGCTCCACTTTCTGCTCCATGGCTTCCTTCAGGGCCCGGGCCAGCGATAGCGCCTTGGTCTCCTCTCGGGCCCTGGCCTCGGCCCGGTCACGCTCCTCTGCATACTTGGCAGAGATGGTTTTCTCCTCTGCCAGGAGCTGGGAAAGAGAGGGGCACCATGAGGCTCAGCCCCACAGGCTCTGAGCTACAGCCCCCAGCAGGGCAGAGCAGCTGGGCCCAAGCTAATTTTTGTATTCTTAGTAGAGATGGGGTTTGACCATATTGGCCAGGCAGCTCTCGAACTCTTGACCTGGTGATCCGCCTGCTGGCTGCAGGGCAGCAGTGCCACTCTCCACTGCCACCCCACCCACCTTGTGCAAGTGGATCATCTCGGCCTCCACACTCTTCAGGTTCCTCTCATTCTCTTTGGCCTGGGCCAGGATCTCCTCGCGAGAGGCGCGTGTGTCGTCCAGCTCACGCATGCAGTGTTTAACCTGGGCCTGGGGCAGGGACAGAGGCTTGGCACCCTACCCAAGTCCTTGGCCCTTGGCCCTCCACCCCCACCCACGAGCGTCACCTTGCACACAGGGATGGCTGTGCTGTGCTTGATATTTAACCAACCATGGTGACAGGGAGAAAAAGCAACTGAGGACAAAAATCTGTGTCCCACTTCATAACGCACACTTTGACAGTGTTGGTCACTGTGGACGTAAGCCCAGGCTGAGCTTCATTTCCCACTTCTGTCCCCTCTGTGGGCCGGAGACCAGTGCCCACGGTGCCACCCCTAATGCGCACCTGCCGCTTGAAACCAGTGCCCAGCCTGGCAGGTGTCCCCACCACAGGCAGGAAACACCTTTCCTTTTGTTACCCACCTCCTATTTGTTTTAATGCTAAAGATTTTTGTCAAATATTCTTTTTTTCCATTTGCAGATAACTCCAAAAACAGATTCCCCAAGCCAAAGCGCATGACTGGGTGTGTGCAGCCAGTCCACAGCAACAGAACATGCCAACAGCAGAGTATCTGTGCCCCACAACCTTGCCCACAGTTAGCTTTTACAGATTTTTTTTTGCCCAGGCACAGCAGCTCACGCCTGTAATCCCAGCAGTATGGGAGGCCGAGGCTGTCAGATCACGAGGTCAGGAGTTTGAGACCACCCTGGCCAACACAGTGAACTGCCATCTCTACTAAAAATACGAAAATTAGCCAGGCATGGGGACACACACCTATAATCACAGCTACTCGGGAGGCTGAGACAGGAGAATCGCCTGAACCCAGGAGGCAGAGGTTGTGGTGACACAAGATTGCGCCACTGCACTCCAGCCTGGGCAAAAGAACAAGACACTGACTCAAATGTATTTTAAACCTACGGTTATTCTTGCTACATGATATGACATGTCAGAGCTATTTTTATGTGTTCATTATTCAATCATTGGTGACGTGAAAATTTCCAAGTATGTATCCCACACTCTAGGCTGCTTCTCGGAACCATCACGCCGGAGCCCAGAAGGCTGGAGCATCAGGACGCGGCTGATGCTGGAGTCTGCACTGGGTGAGGCCTTCTGAACTCCCCCATGCCTGGGCCTGCACTTGCCTGTTTGCTTCTGTGTTTCATGTATTCAGCCATGCACCGTTCTGCAACTTTGCTGTTGAATTATTGTTTCCACTCACCTCTGAGCCTGTGTCTCCATTAGTGAGATGGGGCTGGAAGCACCCAGGACCTTCCCAAGAGGCGCCACCCTGCAAGGTTCCCGCCCCAGTGCCCTGGCATGTAGCTGGCTCAGCTGGGCACCGCCCACACTGACCCGCCACTTCCACAGCTGCTCGATGGCTTCATCCCAGTTCCTGTTGGCCGAGTCAATGTGTGCCTCCAGGTCAATCTCCAGCTTCTTCCGGGCGGCCACTGCCATGGAGTGCCTCTTCCTCTCGTCCTCCAGCTCTGCCTCCATCTCCCGCACCTGGAGGAAGGAACACTGACAGCTTGGGAAGCTGGACCCACTCAGAGACCCTGCTCTGGCTCTGAACCCAGGTGCCTCTGCAGGATCTGCGGGGCCTCCGGAAGCCAGTGGGCATTACTGACTCTAAGAACTCTAAGAAGGTAAGTCGCTGACCCGAGGGACAGGGGACTAGACAGGAGGGACAGGGGAGAGGAGGCGTGGTCCAGGGCCCTAACACAATACAGGTGGAAGGAGGAAATGGAAGCCTGGGTGAAGCCAGGGCAACCCTGGCCACCGTGGGGTAGCAGGAGCCCACGCACACCTGTCTGGCCAGCTGCTGCTGCTTCTCCTCGCTCTGCTCGTCCCGGCCCTGCAGGTCCCGCTCGAACTGGATCTTCATGGCCTGCAGGTTGACCTCCAGCTGCAGATTGGCATTTTCAGTGTCCTGCAGCTCATCCTCCAACTCCTCCAGCTGGGTCTTCAACTCCTTCACCTGCTGCTCCAGAAGCCACCTGGACTTCAGCTCATGGACCTGAGCCCCAGAGATCCCAAGTCAGGAGCAAAGAGACTGACAGGGACCTGGGTCTGCTAGACCCGGAAGGTGTGTATGTGTTGACCCTCTGTGATGACCCCGCTCAGGTCCCTCCCAAGGCCTGGCTGCCAGGCCCGGCACTCACGCTCTTGCCCTTGGAGCTCATGATGTCCTCCATCTCCACGCGGAACTGCTTGTTGAGCCGCTCCAGCTCCACTTTCTGCTCCATGGCTTCCTTCAGGGCCCGGGCCAGCAACAGCACCTTGGTCTCCTTCTCTCGGGCCCTGGCCTCGGCCCGGTCACGCTCCTCTGCATACTTGGCAGAGATGGTCTTCTCCTCTGCCAGGAGCTGGGAAAGAGAGGGGCACCATGAGGCTAAGCCCCACAGGCTCCGAGCTACAGCCCCCAGCAGGGCAGAGCAGCTGGGCCCAAGCTAATTTTTGTATTCTTAGTAGAGATGGGGTTTGACCATGTTGGCCAGGCAGCTCTCGAACTCTTGACCTGGTGATCCCCACCCACCTTGTGCAAGTGGATCATCTCAGCCTCCACACTCTTCAGGTTCCTCTCATTCTCTTTGGCCTGGGCCAGGATCTCCTCGCGAGAGGCGCGTGTGTCGTCCAGCTCACGCATGCAGTGTTTAACCTGGGCCTGGGGCAGGGACAGAGGCTTGGCACCCTACCCAAGTCCTTGGCCCTCGGCCCTCCACCCCCACCCTCGAGCGTCACCTCGCACACAGGGATGGCTGTGCTCTGCTCGATATTTAACCAACCATGGTGACAGGGAGAAAAAGCTACTGAGGACAAAAATCTGTGTCCCACTTCATAACGCACACTTTGACAGTGTTGGTCACTGTGGACGTAAGCCCAGGCTGAGCTTCATTTTCCACTTCTGTCCCCTCTGTGGGCCAGAGACCAGTGCCCATGGTGCCACCCCTAATGCGTACCTGCCGCTTGAAACCAGTGCCCACTTTCCTTTTGTTACCCACCTCCTATTTGTTTTAATGCTAAAGATTTTTGTCAAATATTCCTTTTTTCCATTTGCAGATAACTCCAAAAACAGATTCGCCAAGCCAAAGCGCATGACTGGGTGTGTGCAGCCAGTCCACAGCAGCACAATATGCTAACAGCAGAGTATCTGTGCCCCACAACCTTGCCCACAGTTAGTTTTTACAGATTCTTTTTTGCCCAGGCATAGCAGCTCACACCTGTAATCCCGAGGCTGTCAGATCACGAGGTCAGGAGTTTGAGACCACCCTGGCCAACACAGTGAACTGCTGTCTCTACTAAAAATACAAAAATTAGCCAGGCATGGGGACACGCACCTATAATCCCAGCTACTCGAGAGGCTGAGGCAGGAGAATCGCCTGAACCCAGGAGGCAGAGGTTGTGGTGACACAATATTGCGCCACTGCACTCCAGCCTGGGCAAAAGAGCAAGACACTGACTCAAATGTATTTTAAACCTACGGTTATTCTTACTACATAGTATGACATATCAGAGCTGTTTTTATGTGTTCATTATTCTTCAATTATTGGTGACGTGAAAATTTCCAAGTATGTATCCCACACTCTAGGCTGCTTCTCGGAACCATCACGCCGGAGCCCAGAAGGCTGGAGCGTCAGGACGCGGCTGATGCTGGAGTCTGCACTGGGTGAGGCCTTCTGAACATGTGTTTCATGTACTCAGCCATGCACCGTTCTGCAACTTTGCTGTTGGACTATTGTTTCCACTCACCTCTGAGCCTGTGTCTCCATTAGTGAGATGGGGCTAGAAGCACACAGGACCTTCCCACGAGGTGCCACCCTGCAAGGTTCCCACCCCAGCGCCCTCGCATGAAGCTGGCTCAGCTTGGCACCGCCCACCCTTACCCGCCACTTCCACAGCTGCTCGATGGCTTCATCCCAGTTCTTGTTGGCCGAGTCAATGTGCGCCTCCAGGTCAATCTCCAGCTTCTTCCGGGCGGCCACTGCCATGGAGTGCCTCTTCCTCTCGTCCTCCAGCTCTGCCTCCATCTCCCGCACCTGAAGGAACACTGACAGCTTGGGAAGCTGGACCCACTCAGAGACCCTGCTCTGGCTCTGAACCCAGGTGCCTCTGCAGGATCTGCAGGGCCTCCGGAAGCCAGTGGGCATTACTGACTCTAAGAACTCTAAGAAGGTGAGTCGTTGACCCGAGGGACAGGGGACTGGACAGGAGGGACAGGGAAGGGGAGGCGTGGTCCAGGGCCCTAACACAATACAGGTGGAAGGAGGAAATGGAAGCCTGGGTGAAGCCAGGGCAACCCTGGCCATCGTGGGGTAGCAGGAGCCCACACACACCTGTCTGACCAGCTGCTGCTGCTTCTCCTCACTCTGCTCGTCCCGGCCCTGCAGGTCCCGCTCGAACTGGATCTTCATGGCCTGCAGGTTGACCTCCAGCTGCAGATTGGCATTTTCAGTGTCCTGCAGCTCATCCTCCAGCTCCTCCAGCTGGGTCTTCAACTCCTTCACCTGCTGCTCCAGAAGCCACCTGGGCTTCAGCTCATGGACCTGAGCCCCAGAGATCCCAAGTCAGGAGCAAAGAGACCGGCAGGGACCTGGGTCTGCTAGACCCAGAACGTGTGTATGCGTTGACCCTCTGTGATGACCCCGCTCGGGCCCCTCCCAAGGCCTGGCTGCCAGGCCCGGCACTCACGCTCTTGCCCTTGGAGCTCATGATGTCCTCCATCTCCACGCGGAACTGCTTGTTGAGCCGCTCCAGCTCCACTTTCTGCTCCATGGCTTCCTTCAGGGCCCGGGCCAGCGACAGCGCCTTGGTCTCCTTCTCTTGGGCCTCGGCCTCGGCCCGGTCACGCTCCTCTGCATACTTGGCAGAGATGGTCTTCTCCTCTGCCAGGAGCTGGGAAAGAGAGGGGCACCATGAGGCTCAGCCCCACAGGCTCCGAGCTACAGCCCCAGCAGGGCAGAGCAGCTGGGCCCAAGCTAATTTTTGTATTCTTAGTACAGATGGGGTTTCACCATGTTGGCCAAGCTGCTCTTGAACTCTTGACCTGGTGATCTGCCCGCCTCGGCTTCCCAAAGTTCTGGGCTTATAGGCATATAAGCCCATGCCCAGTCAAGAGTGCATTCTTTAGAGTATACAGGCCCACAGTCTCTGCAGTAACTCAACCCCACTACCACAGCGCAACAACCAGAGATGACACAAGAACGACACAGTGTGTGTGTGCGTTCGGTCCAGCTTTCTCCCCAAAACGCAGCGGGCTCAATGTCTATCCCGCCGCAGTTCCATGCTCGATGTCTATCCCGCCCCGGTTTTCACATCTCCCTCAGCTTCCCTCAGATCTTTTGGAATAAGGAAGCAATATGAGTGCACAAATAAATGGTGTAAATGGCAGGAAAACCAGTTCATTATAGAAAATAATGGGGTTCCTCCTCAACCCACTGCATGAAGACACCCTCTTCCGCTGGCCTTCTCCCCCAGCCCCTCAACAAGCCAGAGACTAGGGGTCCTCTAAGTGCTGGCCCCACACGACCCCTCCCGGGCAAGGTCTCGAGGGAGCCCAGGCTTTCTCTGATGAGGCCCTCACCTTGGGCTGAGTGCCGGAAGGAGAGGAAATGCAAAGGATGGGGTGGATGGCTACACACCTGGTCAAACTTCTTCTGCTTCTCCTGCAGGTTGCACACCCTCTGGCGCTGCTTGTCCAGCTCCCGCTGCAGCCATGTCTTGGTATTCTCCATCTTCTCAGGTCGACCCTCCAGGTCATCCCGGAGCTGCCTCTTCACCTCCTTTGCGGTTTCCAGGCACCCCACACTGTCAATTCTCTTCTTCATGTCGGCCACCTGGGCAGGAGCAAGGAGTAAGCAGATCCCCGAGATGGCACCTGCTCAGGTCACACACCTGTCCCTGGGGCAGGTAAGAGCCTGCCTGGACACTGTGAAAGGGGAACCAGGGATCTGCCCAGTTATGAAACTGCCTCCCCCAGTCACTTCCCTCTCCATGCGGGGGAGACGAATGGAGTTTCTGCACAAAGGCATCCATCTAGTGTGTGAAGCTGCGGGGAGGCTGACTCCTAGGCCCGCTGTGGGGACTCCAAGCCCTCATCCACACCAAGCCTCTCGGTCTCTGGGGAACCACCCCCAGAGAGCAAGGCCAGTGGCCTGTGGGGGTGTACATGGGGTCCCCATCAGTCAGCCCTTGCATCTGCAGATAAACCTGCAACCACATGTGCTCAAAGGTGACTCCTACCCTGACTTTGGAATGAACTCCCAGCCCATCCAGAGGTGGTTCAGGCCTTCTGGCCCGCCACATGGAGGCCTAAAATAGGATCTACATTAGTCTAGGGACCCCTTGACAGTCTATAGAGAGGACTAGGGACTCCTCATGACAATGTTTTAACAGGGAATCACCCAGGCAACCAGTATAGAGAAATGCAGTTGCCATCACTCAGGAAGCCACGTGACCCCAGGTAGCACATCAGATAGCAAACTCAGCACAGGCCTGGCAATCACGAGGCCAAGGAGCTCAGCCATGACCCTAACAGGGTAACTGGCCATTTCTCCAGGTGACAAGGGCGCAGGGACTGCAAGCACCATGGCTTGTGGCTATGTTCATAATGGAAGCAGTGCTATATTGTAGCTAGACTGGCGAACATAAAGTGTAAAATAGCAGTGAAAATGGTGGTGTTCCCCCATCTAAGTCCACAGACCCCTGGATTCCTCTCTTATGGACTCAGGCTAAGAGCACTGATGTGGGACAGCAGGGTGGGGGAGCTTCCCTGGAAAAGAAGGCAATAGGCTGGCTCAGTGGCAGGCTGCCCTGCAGTGCCCAGGCCAGTAGCTCTCCTGCCTGCAGCATCTGGCCAGTTCCCTGGGCCTCCAAACCTGGGCGTGGAGGGTGGCAATCTGCTTCTCAAGGTTGTGCGTGGCCTCCTTCTTCTCCAGCTGTTCCCAGAAGGAATTCTTCTCATCCTCCACCTGCTTGAGGTTGGTGCTCAGGCCCAGATTCTGCCGGTTCTCCTCCTGCAGCAGCTCCTAATCCCGGGATGAGATAAATGCGGGTGCTCAGGAGAGTAGTTTCTGAACCCCAGGGACCCCACACCCTGGAGAAGAGGGAGGAGCCAGTCCTGCTGATTCACGGGATGACCACGTAAGGACCTGGTGGGAGTTGGGAGAACGCAGAGACCGCCCCCCCAGGATGAAAAGGAACATGGGCAATCTGACGGGTTCTAGAGCTAATAGGCAGAGGGGCCTTCCAGGAGGAGTCCACCTTCCGGGAACCTGGTTTTTCATGGGATATTGAGCAAGTCCATGTTGGCTGCCAAATACAAAATTACTGCTACTGAGAAATAGGCTCACTACTAGCTTGTCAGTGATGTCACCTTTGGACCGACATCATCAATCAGGTCTCAGTTGGTCATAGCTCTGACAGCTGAGGCCTGATTCACAATGGCAGTCAAAAATGATACTCACTTGACATTCTAGAAGCCCCAGAAAAAGACATTTCTCTTCAAGACAAAGAAATGCATCTTACGTGAGGTGACATCTCCTCCGCAATCCTCGCAGTCCTACCCTCCTCCGGGTCTTGAATGGGAGCTAGGAGGACACAGAGAGACAGTCAGTGCACTGGTGCTGTGAGGAATCCCACAAGGAGGCTTGGGGGACGTGGACTGAAGCTGCAGTGTATGGAGCTGGGCTGCTGACAAGCATGGACTGAGCTGCTGCTGGACCACTCTCCTTGGTGTTGAAGGAAGGCAAAGGAGAGGGGCAGAAAGAAACCAAAGAGCCTTGGGCTTTCCAGCTACGGCAACCTCATCACTGTGAAATAGTCTGAGAACCGGTTAACACAGAAAGGCACTGCATGGCTCAGCGAGAGCATCTCATCAGACCTGCTGCCCACGTGAAGGTCTAGGCGAATCCCAACATTTTATGAAACGTTACAGGATTATTTAACTTCTGTGGATCTGCATATCCTGATACTACAATTATCATCTATCCTGTTGCATTTTTAAAATTGTAGTAAAGCACACATATTTATTATTTTAGTTATTAACTGTGCATTTTAATGATATTATATTCAGTGAATAACATTCATGATGCTGTGTCAATAATGAGAAAAATCTAAATTCATAATCTAGCTTCCACCTTGGGCAATGAAAGGAAAACAGCAGTGTAATGTCAAATAGAGGAAAAATACATGATTGCAGAAATTAAAGGAATAAAAAACAGGAAATCATCAGAGAAAATCAACAAAACCAAAAAACAGTTCTTTGAAAAGATCAAAAACATTGGTAAACCTCTACCTTGTCTAACCACAAAGGAAAAGAAGGAAGTCACGATGTACTAATATCAGTTGAAGATGAGTGGAATCAAAAATAATAATAAAGGAATATTGTGAACACATCTGTGCTCACACTTGGATACATTATATGAAATGAGCTAATTTTTTGGATCTGTTTCAGAAGGTTAAAAGTCTTCTCAGGATAAATGAATCATCTGAATAGGCCTATATTTATTTTAGAAATTGAATCAATAATTAGTATCTTCTCAAAAAAAAAAAAAACACTACCTTCAGATGAATTCACCGGTAAATTCTACCAAAATTCTCACAAAGAAAGGTAGTCTTACCATACAAGCAAGTAACCATAACTTTAGCATTGCCTTAGTTACACTGTAAAAATTATGTTTCCAAACAAGACACAAGAAGGTTTATACCTGCTGTATTCATAATTGCCCAAACTGAAAGCAAACCTCTAAATATTCGAGATGTCCTTTACTATCAAAAGTGAACCAAGCCTGGACAACATGGTGAAATCCTGTCTCTACAAAAAAAGTAACATTTAAAAAAAATAGCTTGGTATAAAGCATGTGCATTACAGCCAACTGCTTGGGAGGCTGAGGTAAAAGGATCAGCTGAACATGGGGAGGTCAAGATTGCAATGAGCTGTGATTGCACCAATGCACTCCTGGGTGACAAAAATGAGACTTTCTCACAAAAATAAAGTAACAAAAAGAACCAAACTCTAAGTTGTCAACGTAACTTTCCTTGTGTAGTTGCATCACCCGTTGATTAAATGCATTTCAGTGGGCACGAACGAAATAAATGAAGAACCTGACACAGCATTTACTGAGTTTCTCTCATATGGGACACTGGATGAGTAAACTGAAATTATTTGCTTCAGTCAACTTCATGATATAATTTCCACACTACCTTCATTTTCACTGCGGCAAATTTTCTTACGCCTCCTTTTTGCTGCCCAGCTCCTGGCGCGGCCAGCCAAACCTGCAAGGCAGAAATGCATCATAATAGACAGTGCTTGACATCTTGCTGGCAGAGGACCACGGAGAAATTAGTAAAAACGTTCTCAGTTTAAACTTTTGATCCTAGTTTTCACCGACTGCTTTTCAATGCTACCTGAATTAGATCTGGGTTCTAGGAAGATTTGTTTGTGCAGGCAAATACCTTTATTCAGATGAGACAATACAGAGAAGCAGAAGTTCCAAGTTACCAAAAAATAGGCTGGGTTCAAATCCTACTTAGAATCTGCACATAACTGGGAGAGGGATATGAACCCTTCTGTGCCTCTCTTTCCTATTCTCAGATGTGGAAACATTATTAGATCTAGGCTATAGACCTACTAAGCTCTATAGTGTCTAAAAGGATGAAATGCAGATAAAGACTTAAATAGACTCATGTTTTTGGAAATGCCCTAAAATGTTCAATCAATGTCGGGAAGAATAATCCAGACACTTGGTAGTGGTTGAATACAGAGAGGGAGCTTGCGTGTCTCTGCGCAGGGTTAGGATGGAAAGTGACTTCACAGTTTCCATGGCCACATGATTTCCAGCTCATGACAGAGATCTGTGATTTCCCTGATCCCCAAGTCAGCCCCAAGGGACAGGCAGGGAAGGGGCTACAACCCGTATTTTCAAATTCAGTGAATTCAAATTCAGACATTTTGAGTGACTTGCCGTCACCACAGTGAGGAGTGATAGGTCTGAGGTAATCATGTGGTTGGTTCCCCGGGGAGAGAGATCCCGGAACACCTGAGTCCTCTAGATCATGCCCTGGACCCTGGACCGAGAGCTCTTCTCACAAGCTCTGTGAAATCCTGCTGCCCCAGTGTTTCTGTGGGATGGTTGAGGCTATGGAGAGGTCGCAGGTGGCTTACCGCAGTTACTGACCTACTCTATTATCCCTATGTTGTCACTTTTAGTAGTTTTATGACCCATAAGGCAAACATTTTAAGTCTCAGTTATGATGCACGGTCTGAGATTTTACCTGAATCCACTCTTTCCACCCATCTGGTGATTCTCATCTGCTGGGCTGGAGCTGGCCTGCCGTAAAAGAGGACACACGGCATACCACGGAGCGGCTGTGCGCCCCACTCCTGTGCACACTCTTGCCTTGCTTCTGCTTTCCCAGCTCTGACAATCCTAATTCTGGCTTCCAAACCAATCCTGTACATCCCTCTCAGTTCTCAGACTTGCCTCAACTGTTGGATATTTTAATCACTGTTGCGACCATGACTGAACGGTGACATTTCATATGCCATAGTATATGTTTATCTTTTTACATGTTTCTTAATAGCATTTAACTTATTGTTTCAGACTTTTAGGAACATTTCTGGGCTAGGTGTGCTGGCCCATGGCTGTAATCCTGACAGTTTTGGAGGTTAAGGCAGAAGAACTGCTTGAGGTCAGATGTTTGAGACCAACCTGGGCAACACAGTGAGACCTCGACTCTAGAAAAAATCTACAAATTACCAGATGTGGCGGTGAGCCCTTGTATCTTTAGCTACATGGAAGGCTGTTGTGGGAAGATCGTTTGAGCCTAGAAGATTGAGGCTGCAGTGAGCTATGATCACGCCACTGCCTGGGTGACAAAGCAAGACCCTGTCTTTTCACAATAAAAAGCATTACTGTGTCACAAGTATCCCCATTTTATTTCTCATTATCTAATATTGCTGTTTTCATCCTGAGGCTTAATTGCTTTAGTAAGCTAAGAAAAAAAAAGTTGTTTTTTTTTTTTTTTTTTTTTTAAGGGTACTATTTAAAGCAGGTCATATGCATGCCCTTTTGTAAATTCTAGTTTTATATGCCATATATCTAGAATTTACACTCTTGATGTACTGAGTCTTCTTCTTAGAACCAGCCTCCTTATATGTAACAGTATAATTCCCATTTTACACCTGACTCGAAACATTGAGAGGATAGAATAAAATGAAAGAGCAGTCTGTATACCACGTAATGCACAATGAATCACAAAGCGAAGTTTTCTCCAACTCAAAGGTGAAAAGTGCACAGTTAGCGTCCTCTGCAGAACCCATAGCAAAATGAAATTTTGAGAAAATATGCACTTTGGCTGCCCAGTGAAGTTAGAAGAAAACTGTCACAGGTCATCATCAAGACTTCCCCAACATTGGCTTTTATTTTTAAATAATGAAATACACATGATTTTGCCTGCTTTCTTTCATGTATATTACTGCATGTTCTCTTTGCTTTTCTGCGTACCCTATCTTGGGAATCACTCCATAGCAATAAAAAGACATCTTACTCTTTTTTACAGCTCCATACTTCTCCTTTATGTAGAAGTACCAGCTTATTTCTTTTTTTCTTAGAAAGAAACATTTAATAAGGACTGATAAACAGAAGCCATGTCTGTGTCTTGAGGGGTGGCAAGACAAGATGGTGGATCCCTGTGCCATTACCCCTCACAGCCCTCAGACCGAGGGCGTGTATACCACAGGGAAGGGATGGTTCAGAAGGAAGGTGTGGGACAATTGAAGGTCTTTTTACATTAAAATCTTTTTACCTATAGGCAGGGTTTAGAGTAAGTACCTGCTCTACACAGTGGCTCACAATACCCTGCCCCACAGCCCCACCCAGGTGCTCACAATGCCCCGCCCCACAGCCCCACCCAGTGGCTCACAATGCCCATCCCTGCTTCTGCCCACCTGTGGTCACCATTCCCCTCTGTGTGACATTATTCATCCTGGGCTGCCTGAGCTTTCCAGTCCTGAGAAAAGTGTGTGTGTGGAGGGGAGGGTGGTTGTTATTAAAAGTCACCCTGGGCACTGAACTCAGTAGAAAACCCTGGTTACTAATGTCAGTTCCATTAGCATCTCTGGTTTTCTGAGTCTGGTAGCTTCCATTTGCTCAACGAACGTAGTGATACACAAATGTTTGACTGATTTTGTACCTAAATGCTCCTCTCCTGTCTTACAAGTGTTAGTTTTTGTCTTCAATTTGACCATAGCAAAAACATGAAATGTTTCCTCTCTCCTCCCCTTTTCCATCCTGTAGGAAGGGGAGCCATGAAAACAAACTCTTTTCCACAGGCAGGGTCTGGCCTTCTAACTCCAAGTCTTTACCTTCCAAATTCAAGTCTAAAGTCATTTCATCTCTTTTGGAACCTGTAACCATGAGCTAGCTCTACCTGTCTTTCAGAACAAGGAGGTAAACAAAGCCCGTGAAGTTACTGGAGTAGGGCTGAAGAGACATTCATGTCAAAGTGGGAATGTTGAAGTAATCAGAGCTCCACGGCTAAACTTTTGGGTAAAACCACAACAAAAACAACTTTTTTACAGCTCGGGCAGTAACATTTCATACCTTTTGCAGTCATTTTAAGCATGTCCCTCAATTTTTCCTTCGGTTTTCAAATTACAATTGGAAGACATAAAGCTGCTTCTGTCAAGGTGACTTAAAACCATCTATTAAGAACACCATATAATCTCTTCCATGGCAAACTCTATTTCAAATTTAACAAGTCTCCAAATATTTGAGTCTGAATTATCTCAATTATTAGCTTCTCTATCGAACAGGAGAAAAGAAATGATTGGGCCTTTGACCGGCTCCTTCACTGAGGTGCCATAGTAGCTGGACAGCCAAGGCTAGAGAATGGGATGGAGACTCCAAAACTGGAGTATCTGAATTTTCACCAGGGAAAGGGAGAGACTAGACCAAAAAGGCCTCAAGCAAGAAGGCTCAACAACGAAGACAAGAGGCAGGACTAGCCTTTGTCCCCCATGCCCAGCCCCGGGAAAGCTGGCTATAGGCAGGAGGGAGCTGGAAGCTGAGGATGTCTCTGGCTGGGGTGAGGGGATGGGAAGGAGGTGGGGAGGTGGTGACCAGAGATGTGCCAGAGAGCAAATGGCACCCATGGCTTCTTTACCTTTGCGCCTCTTAGATTTTATGAGCTGCGTGTCCTGGACCTCCACCACTCCGAAATGTAACACGGCAGGCTCTGCAGTGGTGGATGCCACAGACTGGCCACCAGGCCCGCAGCAGGCACAACTGGGGCCAGCGCTGGGGCGTAGACAATTCCCCATGTGTGATCCACAAGGGGACTTTAAAAACAAAGCAACACAAAATAAAATTAAAAAAAAAAAAACAAAAACAAACAAAACAAAGCAACAGAGCAAGCGCCAAGGGCACAAACACTTCCGTGAGAGCAATCGGAGCTCCTCCTCCTCCCACTACCAGCTTCCGACTGAAGGCTGCTGGTCCTGGCTGATGCCTGTCCCCCACAAAGCCTCCTATGTCACCTGATTGCCAGGAAACCACAAAGTCAGGCCAGTGACTCACAATGCCACTTCTCACAACCCCATCCAATGGCTCACAATGCCCATTCCTGATGCTGGCCACCTGTGGCCACCCTGCCCCTCTTGGTGACTGCATTATTCATCCTGAGCTGCCTGAGATCATCCATTTTTCACTACAAGCCTCAAAAAATTCAGCAATGTCCCTTCATAGATTCTATATAGAGTGTGTCTAACCTGTGAATAAAAACAAAGGTTTCATTCTGCGTGATAAATCCACAAACACAAAGCATTTTCACAGAATCCTTTGGGGCCCACCTCTCACCTTCAGCGTCCCCTTCTTAGTTATTTGGGCTTCTGTCTTGTATGATCTGTCAGGTTCTAGACCTTGTAAGGGTCAGTTCCATGTCTCCACTCACATGTGCCCAGGACGGTTGGCTCTTGGGAGGCTCTTCATGGTGACTGAGGCCATGGATCCTTCGCACTGTTCCTTGAATCCACTTGACACGAAATACTCATCCTGAAATGATGCTTTGAAAGTGATGCTTCCAGTCAATTGTGGGTCCACTGTATTATGGATCCCTAGTACCCAATACACGGCATATAAGAAATGAATGAAAAATGAGTGCATGGACTCAAGTGTGCCTACAAGGTGAGAGAAAAGGGTCCTACTTACTAGGTGTGCTACGAAGGCACCTGGGACCATTGGCTTTGCTATTTCATAGCAGGCCTGGGGCTTTGAAGGCTGGTATTTCCTCATTCTAAACCTCAGAGTCCAATGAATTACCAAGTGGACAAAGGTCCATGGGCCAGAGCTCTTGGTGTGAACAACATACCTTTTTTGGGTGTGATTCATGGACGGGGACTATACAAAACTAAGAACCATGTTTGTGTGCTGACTACCTGCAAGCCGTGGTGAGAAAACACTCTGTATACATGATCTTATTCAATGCTTGTTACAAATCCCTGAAGTGGATTTTTAGACAAACTTTCTATTCTAGAGCTTTTTGGAACAAGAGGCTAGTGTAGTGAGCTTCCACCTACTCAGCAGCAGATTCAGGTATTTGTTATCTGACGGCCGATCGCGTTACATGTATGCTCCTACATGCTTCTCCTCTTCCTCTCGTGATTTTATAGCAAATCCCACACATCATAGAATTTCCTCCCTGACCGTCTTGGTGGATGTCTGTAAAAGATACGATTCTTGTTTGTTCTTTCACCACGAGGTCTCTGTCACCCAGGCTGGAGTTCAGTGGCATGATCTTGGTTCACTGTGGCCTCTCCTGCCTCAACTTCCTGAGTAGCTGCAACTACAGACTCACACCATGCCCAGCTCATCTTTTTATTTGTATTTTAGTAGAGAAAGGGTCTTGCTATGTTGCCTGGGCTGGTCTACAATTCCTGGATTCAAAGGATCTTCCCGCCTTGACCTCCCACACTACTGAGATCATAGGTGTGAACCGCCGTGCCCGGAGACAAGAAGTCATTAAAAAATATAATCCCAATACCATCATCAACCAACCATCTCACACCATTGCTCTTTATCACTGTCAACTCTCCTTCTAGCTTCAAATTTCCAGTCGTTTCATGTATTTATTGTTTGAATCAGGATCCAAATAAAGTCTCTCTTTGGGATTGTGTGATTCGCCTCTTAGGGTTTTTTGATCCTGACAGCGTCCCACTTTGATCTCTGTGCTGTCCCTTGCAGTCCATTTATTGAATAAATCAGGCCATTTCCCCATACTTTGAATTATGCTAAGTGTATTCTCATTATGCTGTTTCTCATACTGTGAATTTTGCTAATTGTATCTTATGATGTTGGTTAACTTGCTCTTCACTTTGTTCTAGTTTTGATAAATTAGTAGTTTAATCTCAAGACTTGGTGAGATTCAGGCTGGACTTGATTCAGGGCAAAAAGGCTGTGCCAGTTTCTTCTGGGAGGAGGTGTGTACTCTCTGGAGATCTTTTTTTTTTTTTAATTGGTGGTGTTAATGGCCACTGATCAATTACGGATTGAACAATGAAGGCATTGGTTGTATCATTCCTTCTTCGTTTATGAGCTGCCACCCTTCGAAGAGATACTGCTACCCTAAGAAGGGCCGTGCATGAAGAGACACTGCTACCCCAAGCAGAGCCTTGCATTAAAAAAAAAAATGAAGTAAATATAAAAAAGAGATGCTGCTTCTTATGAACTGTTGCTCACTTGTACAACTTATATAGAAAACACCACTTCATGGCTTATTTCTTGTTTACCATTTTTCAAAATCATGGGCTGTTTCATTTATATCCTTCAATGGTGACCACTTCTATTAATTATACTTTTTTTTTTTGAGATGGAGTTTCGCTCTTGTTACCCAGGCTGGAGTGCAATGGCGCAGTCTCGGCTCACCGCAACCTCCACCTCCTGGGTTCAGGCAATTCTCCTGCCTCAACCTCCCGAGTAGCTGGGATTATAGGCACGCACCACCATGCCCAGCTAATTTTTTGTATCTTTAATAGAGACGGGGTTTCACCATTTCAACCAGGATAGTCTCGATCTCTTGACCTCGTGATCCACCCGCCTTGGCCTCCCAAAGTGTTGGGATTACAGGCATTAGCCACCACGCCCAGCCTATACTTTTTTTAGACAGGGAGGGTCTAGTTCTGTTGCCCAGGCTGGTATGCAGAGAAGCAGTCATGCCACTACAGCCTCAAACTTCTAGGGTCAGGTGACCCTCCCATCTCAGCTTCCTGAGTAGCTGAGACCAAAGACACGGGCCCTCAAACCTGAGTAATTTAAAAAATATTTTGTTGAGACAAAGTCCCCGTGTTGCACAGGCTGGTCTTGAACTCCTGGATGAAGTGATCCTCCTAACTCAGCCTCCCAGAGTGTTGAAATTACAGGCACGAGGAGCTGTGCCCACTTTTATTTTTTCAAAAGGATCATTATGAATGCAGATATTCAAACATATCTGATATATCTCAATTCACTGCAACTATTATCCTTACTAATGTACAAAATGTCCTATCTTTGGTTAGAAGGAGGCCCTTCAGATTGGCCCTTTGGACATGTTTAAATCATCCTAATAATCTTTGATGGATTCTTTGCTATCCAGAGTGATAGTATGTTCCAGGCTCCTTACACATTTCTGGCCTAGACCTGGAATCAGCACTTTGTCCAGGAAGCCTTGTTTCCTTTCATTCGGGAATGGTATTTTGAGACCACAATCTTGGTGCTAGGGGCAAATAGTATAATTTTAGAACTTAAAAAACTGCTTGGCTTGTGTCTGTAATCCTAGCACTTTGGGAGGCCGAGATGGGTGGATCACCTGAGGTCATGACTTTCAGACCAGCCTAAACAACATAATGAAACCCCATCTGTACTAAAAATACAAAAAATTAGCCAGGCATCATAGTGGGAGCCTGGAATCCCAGCTACTTGGGAGGCTGAGGCAGGAGAATCACTTGAACCTGAGAGATGGAGGTTGTGGTGAGCTGAGATTGCGTCATTGCACTCCAGCCTAGGTAAAAACAGCAAAACTCTGTTTAAAAAAAAAATTAAAATTAATTTAAAAATTAACATCTTTACAGAGGTGTAATTTACAAACTAAAATCTACCCATTTTAAGTGTACAATGATTTTGTGTGTGTGTGTGTGTGTGTGTGTGTGTGAGAGAGAGAGAGAGAGAGAGAGAGAGAGAGAGAGACAGGGTTATCACTCTGATACCAAGGCTGGAAGGCAGTGGTGCCATCATGGCTGACGGCAGCCTCAACCTCTTGGGATCAGGTGATCCTCCTGCCTCAGCTCCCTGAGTACCTGAGACTACAGGCTTGTGCCACCACACCTGTTAAAGCGTTTAAATTATTTGTAGAGATGTTTCCCAGGCTGTCCTTGAACTCCTGGGCTCAAGTGATCTTGCCGTGGCCTCCCAAAGTGTTGGGATTACAGGTGTGAGCCACTGCAGTTAGTCCAATTCAATGATTTTTAGTACATTTAGTATATTTGCAGAATTATGTGACAATCACCACAATCTAGTTTAAGGACATTTCATCATCCCAGAAAGAAACTCGTGCCCATCAGAGTCACTTTTCAGTCTCATTCGCAGCCCTAGTCAACTAGTAAGCTGCTTTCTATCTCTATATTAGGCTGTTCTGGACCTTTCATATAAACAAAATCATGCGACGTGTGTTCTTTTGCATCTGGCTTCTTTCCCGAAGCCTTGCGTTGCTGACGTCGATCACTGTGGTAGCATGCCTCAGAACTCATTTTTGATTGCTGAATAGTATTCCTTTGTACTCCCCACATTTGAATTCCTTCGTCAGTTGATGGGCATTTGGCTTGTCTCCACTTTTTGGTTCTTGTGAGTGGCGTTGTTGTGAACATTCACCCACAAGTCTTTGTGGGAACATACATTTTCATTGTTCCTGGTTAGATACCTAGAAGTAAAGTTGCTGACTTTAAGGCAATTTGACTTTGTTTTATTTTATTATTATTTTTGTCCTGAGCCCCTTGCAGCTCTGCTAGAGAAGGCGATTTTATTTTTAACATTTTGAAAAACTGTCATACTATCTTCCAAAAAAGTGGCTGTAGCATTTTACATTCCCACTGGCAGTGTATGAGGGCTCTGTTCTCCACGTCCTCTCCAGCACTTGGTGTCACGCGTCTGCTTGGTTGTAGTTATTCTAGTGGGTGGAAAGAGACATCGCATTTTGGATTAATTTGCATTTTCCTAGAGACTGACGATGTTGAATGCTTTATGCTATGCTCATTGGACATTAAAATATTATCTTTGGAGAAATGTTTCTTCATGTTCTTTTCCCATTTTTAACTTGGATTGTCTTTTAATACTGAGTTGTAAGAGTTCTTCTGGATATATTGGTTATTAGACGTATGATTTATAAATCTTTTCTCCCATTCTGCGGCTGTCTTCCCCTTTCTTGATTGTATCTTTTGCTGTGCCAAAGGTTTAAATTCAGCTGATGCTCAATTTTTTATTTTCTTGCTTTTTCCCTTTCCTCCTTTTCCAGGTCTCACTAGGTGGTTCTGACTGGTCTTCAACTGTGCTTTTGATGTTGTGTCTGAGACATCAGTGCCTTACACAAGATCACAAGAATTTACTCTTACGTTTTCTAAGAGTTTCATTGTTTTTAGTTTTACATTTAGATCTGTGATCCCTTTTCAGTTAATTTTTGTGTATGGTGTTAGGCAGGGACCCAGATTAATTTATTTGTACATGAATATCCAGTTGCCTCACCACCGTTTGTTGAAAAGTCTATTCATGGTTGGAAACGGTGGGAGGCCAAGGCTGGAGTATTATTGCTTGAGTCCAGGAGTTTAAGGCTGACATCTGCCTAATTCTCCCCATAATTTCTCCAACATCTGCCTAATTCTTCCCCCACAGCAAGCCCGGGGTAACCACCATTCTACTCTCTGCTTCTATGAGTTCAACATTTTTTCTTTTTTCCTTTTATTTTTTCTTTCTTTCTTTCCATTTTCTTTAATGAATCAGTTCCTAAGCAGAGTTCAACTTTTTAAGGATCCACACATGAATGACATCATGCAGGGTTTGTCTTTCGGTGCTCTGCTTATTTCACTTAGCATAATATCATCCAGTTTCATCCATGTCATTGCAAATGCAACAATTTTTAGGCAGATGTTGGAGAAATTATGGGGAGAATTAGGCAGATGTCAGTGTTAAACTCCTGGACTCAAGCAATACTCCAGCCTTGGCCTCCCAAAGTGCTGGGATGACAGTCATTTGAACCCAGGAAGTGAGGTTGCAGAGTGAGACTCTGTCTCAAAAAACAAGAAAAGAGGAGATGAAAGACTTGCTAGAGCTAGGTGTAGTGGCTCAGGCCTGGAATCCCAGCTGGGAGGCAAGATGGGAAGATCACTTGGGGCCAGGAACTGGAGACCAACCTGGGCAATCAAAAGACCCAGTCTCTAAAAAAAAAAAAAAAATTTATATATATATATAAACATGGTCAGCAGGGCACAGTGGCTCACACGTGTAATCCCAGCACTTTGGGAGGCAGAGGAGGGCAGAACACCTGGGATCGGGAGTTTGAGATCAGGCTTACCAGCATGGAGAAACCCTGTCTTTACTGAAAATACAAAATTTAGCTGGGTATGCTGGCGTGCACCTGTAATGCCAGCTACTCGGGAGGCTGAGGTAGGAGAATCGCTTGAACCTGGGAGGCGGAGGTTGCAGTGAGCCAAGATCATGCCATTGCACTCCAGCCCAGGCAACAAGAGCAAAAAAAAAAACCACAGGGTCTCATTCTGTCACCCAAGCTAAAGTACAGTAGCATGATCACAGCTCACTGTAGCCTTGATGATCTGAGCTCAAGTAATCCTCTTGCCTCAGCCTCCTGAGTAGCCAGGACTGCAGGAGCACACCACTGTGCCTGGATTTTTTTTTTTCTTTTTTTTTATTAGAAACAAAGCCTCGCTCCATTGCCCAGGCTGGTCTTGACCTCCTGAGCTCAAGCAATCGTCCCAGCTTGGACCCCCAAAACACTGGGAATACAGGCATGAGCCACTGCTTCCAGCCTATATGAAATTTTGTGCGTGTGTGAGATGGAGTCTTGCTCTGTCACCCAGGCTGGAGTGTAATGGTGTGATCTCAGCTCACTGCAACCTCCATCTCCTAGGTTCAAACGATTCTCCTGCCTCAGCCTCCCGATTAGCTAGGATTACAGGTGCCCACGACCATGCCCAGCTAAGTTTTATATTTTTAGTAGAGACAGGATTTCACCATGTTGGCTAGGCTGGTCTTGAACTCCTGACCTAGTGATCTGCCTGCCTCCGCCTTTCAAAGTGCTGGGATTACAGGCATTAGCCACTGCACCCAATCTAATTTTTGTATTTTTAGTAGAGATGGGGCTTCGCCATGTTAGCCAGGCTGGTCTCAAACTCCTGACCTCAGGTAATCTACCTGCCTAGGCCTCCCAAAGTGCTGGGATTACAGTTGTGAGCCACTGTGTCCAGCCATATAAATGTTTTTAAAAATATTAGCCAAGGGTAGTGGCACACACCTGTAGTCCCAGCTACTCCAGTAGCTGAGAGAGGAGGATGCCTTGAGCCCAGGACTCTGAGGCTGCAGTGAGCTCTGATTGTGCCACTGCTCTGAAGTCTTGGTGACAGAGCCCATCTCATAAAAATAAAAAAAATTAAAAAATTAAAAGGGAAGGAAGGAAGGAACAAAGGGAGGGAAGGAAGGAGGGAGGGAAATTTAACTTATCAGGCAGAGTCCTGTGAATAAAAGAGAAAAGAAAAGAAAGGTGGCCGGGCACAGTGGCTCATGCCTGTAATACCAGTACTTTGGAAGGCTGAGGCAGGTAGATCATGAGGTCAGGAGTTCAAGACCAGACTGGTCAACATGGTGAAACCCTATCTCTACCAAAAAATTCAAAAATAAATTAGCTGTGCATGGTGGCTTGTGCCTGTAATCCCAGCTACTCGGGAGGCCAAGGTAGGAGAATTGCTTGAAATGGTACCCAGGAGGCAGAGGTTGCAGTGAGCAGAGTTCACGTCACTGCCCTCCAGTCTGGGATACAGAGCAAGACTCCATCTCAAAAAAAAAAAAGGAAAAGAGAGAGAGAAAGAGAGAGAAAGACAGAAAGAAAGACTGGCGTGAGGGAGTAGTAGAGGCTGCCCCAAAATGTGCTCAGCTCAATGCCTCCGTTTCATCCTTTCTGTGTGTCAGCTTCTCACTCCCCAAAATTTCCCCAGTTCCTCCTCCTGCCACCCCCCCACAAAGTATATGGGGAAGAGAATGAACTCAACTATCAATTATCTGGGGGCTAAACCCATGCTTTACGTGGGGTCCCCATTTTGCTGGGCTTTTGAGACCCTTTACTGCTTGTCAGACCACAGTGTGTCTTCATTCCACCAAGAAACTTAATCCCTACAAACCCTGTATCCTACAGGAGCAAAGGAGGGGAGAAGACTCACTAATCCATTTCCAGAATCCATTACAGAACCCAAGGGTCCTAAGTGGAAAAGGTGAGCCCATGTCATAGAACTAGGGAACTGTGGAGGCTTTGAAACACGTCTACAAATGCATTGTAACACCTCCCTTTAAGAGGTGGAGCTAAATTCTCCTCCCCTTGAGTATGAGCTGGACTTAGTGATTTGCTTTTAATCAATAGAATATAGCAGGGCGCGGTGGCTCACGCCTATAATCCCAGCACTTTGGGAGGCCGAGGTGGGTGGATCACAAGGTCAAGAGATCGACACCATCCTGGTCAACAAAGTGAAACCCCGTCTCTACTAAAAATACAAAAATTAGCTGGGCATGGTGGTGCGCACCTGTAGTCCCAGCTACTCGGGAGGCTGAGGCAGGAGAATTGCTTGAACCCAGAAGGTGGAGGTTGCGGTGAGCCGAGATCGCGCCATTGCCCTCCAGTCTGGGTAACAGCAGCGAAACTCCGTCTCAAAAAAAAAAAGGATATAGCAGAAGCAATATGTGACTTTCAAAAGTAGGTCAAAGAAGCACTGTGGCTTTCTCTTTGG